TTCAATTTTTAGTGATATGCAGTAACTAAATCATGAATAGGTATTGCGGGTTCAACGGATCACTCAATATAATCACAATCACTGAATAATTCACAGAATGCGCCGAAAAGTGGGTCCAGTGATTGCATATACAGGTGGTACAATTTGGTCCACTCCAACCCTGTACTTTCGTATTCATAGGGCGAAATGGAAATATTTTTCTCTCATAATATATTAGGTACTCAAAATTATGTACTTTGTCGAGCAAAAAGAAATAATCAAACACAATTTCTTATTGGGAAGGAATATTCTCAGAAAAAATTATGAACATATTTTAACGGTGCGATTCTCTTGAAATTCTCATTCACCATTGGCGTGCGATGTTGAAGGGTACAAAAAAGGCCTTCAATTGGGAAAAAAATATTAGGACATTTTCAACAACTTTCTCCATCAGATTCATATTCAGCAACCCCAAAACCCCTACAATGGGGAAGACCACTGAGAGAAAAAATCCGTGCAAACCTCTTTCAATCGACGAATCATGATTTACGTTTGATGTACAATCAATATTATAAGTTCAAGTTGAAGGGAATCGAATCTATATCGTTTTGAAATCAGCATATTTCATTCGATATTTCAAACAGCCAAATATGATGATGGAGTCGTGACGTATTAGTCCCGAACTGTAGCTATCTCTCTCTGATACATCGTCATTCCGCAGTGTTGCAGCGTGATTGGTCATCTCAAGGACAATAGGCGTGTTGGGAATAAGACGTCGCACCAGTCACACCAATGAATTGACAAAACTTAAAATGGCGCAGGAATTGTGTGTTTTGAAATGGACATATTCTAATTTATTTTTTCTATCGTCTTAGCATGAATGACAATAATTCAAAATTAATTCGCTGGTAGTTTTTCAGTATAGAGTTCACGATAATGTCATTTTAAAAAATCAGTGGTATCCCCCATTCATGTTTTCAAGATACCAAGAGCTGAAATAAAATATTTCAAGATCCCAAAAAACAATGCGATTTTTCTGAAATTTGTGTGGTGATTGTATGTTGAAATGATAAAATAGAATCACAGTTATTTGAAATAGGCCCTGATATCCTTTTTCCGAATAATAGTGTATTTTGTACTCCTCAACATTGATAGCATCATTGATAAGTGAGATATCAGGGTGTAGTCATGAAAAGCGGGACACACTGTATACAGGGTGTCCGCTAAAAGGAGGTCAATCCATTAACCATATATTCCTTGAACAAAAATAATATGAGTTTCTAAATACCATTTTTCATTTTAGCCCTTCTCATTCGATATGCAGGGTGTCAAAGTTGAAAATTAAAAACTGTTTTTTTCTAATTACTCGCGTATTTGATAAGATATTAATCTCAAAATAGGTACATTACTTCAGCACAAAGAGTTACATCGTGTGAGGAAAACAAAACAGAAAATAACTGTCAAATATTCAAAATACTGGGGGTCAAGTACACACTTACCCCCATATTTTTTTTGTACGTGCGCTAATGACTTCCTATCTTTTTTTCTTCATGTGTTCAAACATTTTTGAGTATTTTTTGATTTTTGTAAAATTCCGATAAAATTATTTGTTTTTAAGATAATTCGAAATGTACTGGTTATTGTTTGATGCCTTGCGGCTTACGGTGATCTCATAATGTTCACATACTCCTATTTATTTCGTCGAAATTGGAAGAGGGCGTATCTTATTACGTGCGGAAAGGTGAATATGGAAATACCGGGTGCTCAGAGCGAATGTATTAAAATAATTTTTACACTTTTAAAATTTTTTTTTTGTAAAAATTATTTTAGTACATTTTCTCCGACACGATGTACCAATTTTGAGATTAATATCTTATCAAATACGCGAGTAATTAGAAAAAAACAGTTTTTAATTTCCAACTTTGACACCCTGTATACCGAATATGAAGGGCTAAAATGAAAAATGATATTTAGAAACTCATATTGTTTTTGTTCAAGGAATATGTGGTTAATGGATTGACCTCCTTTTAGCGGACACCCTGTATAAAGAAATACATTGAGAATTTGCATATTCTATGTGATGATGAAAACAACTACTTTCCTGGCTATATGCCACGACGAACATTGAATTATATCTATCGAACACACACGATAAGAATATGAAAACGAAATACTACTACTTGCCTGGCTATTTTCCACATCGGATATTGAATTAAGTATATCTGTTGAACATCCAAAAGGAGAGCATGAAAAATGAAAATCCTCTGAAATTGAGTATTGACATTCTCTTTCAAATCGGATAAAGTAATATGATATAAAATTTTAACTTACCAATATGCTCAGTACTAAAATGAAGATTGAAATGTATAGAAGAAGCATAAGTGCATGAACTCTGATCTTGATGAGCCTGGAATTTCCAAAGAATCATTCGTATCAGTGATATGGGAATTATATCTCTCACGAACAGGTTATATGACTTCATTCGAATTGACTCATTTCGAATATCTATTCCTCCTCAGTAACCTGAAGTTCAGTTATTCTATAGCCATTCTTCAATAGATTTTGTTTTCAATTTCTTATCGGGTGTGTTCAATAGATATAATTCAATGTTCGTCGTGGCATATAGCCAGCAATGTTTTCCGTTAAATAAACCGTTGAAAGAATTGATATTTTTTTCACATAAATATTGCGAATTCTCAATGTATCTCTTCGTATATTTATCAATTTTTTTTATGTTCATAATTTCATCTGACTATTCCACTCTTGATCTCGAGAACCAATCAGAATCGACCATTTTCATGGTTTCTTCTGTATTCTAGCGATATTTTTTGTTTATTAAATTTTATCGGACTTGCTCTACCAATACAGAAGCCGAATTGACCCACACGTGACCAACTAACCTCGTTTATCAGCGATAAAATTTTGACATCGTGTCTGGTCAACATTCCTTTGGATTCAAATCTGAGACAATAACCTAAGTTCCTACTTTATTTAATTTACTTATAATTCGCGTTAGTGAGATATTTTGTACGAAAGGCGAGACAATTTTATTCTGACTGGACATTTCATGTGTAATTTAAAAAGTTTGCATATTTTTTGACGGTCTGACACAACAATAATAGAATTCAAATTCCTTTTTGAAGTCTCAAGTTATTGTGACTGATATAGTTAAATAATTACTAGCTGATGTAGCGCAACACTTAGGGTTGTTGTGCGAGGATACGAAGGTCGATGGTTCGAGCTCTCGGCGACGATATCTTTTTTTTTTAATTATTCCATGTCACATAAATTCACTTTATTTTGTTTGAATTGGATAGTAATTGTATACACTCTTTTGAGAGCAACCATATCCAAGATAATAAAAAAAAACTGTTTATCAAAATTGTACATTCCACTTTGTGAATAACTATGAGTAGGTAGTTGATTTCTAAAAAAGTGAATTTTGTATTTCATTACTATCATTATGTTCTTTTTCGCAGTTCGAGTTGAAATATACTTAAATTATGTTTCCTATTTCTTATATATATTGTCCCATTCAATCATGAAATAGTCATACGAATACAACTCGTGACACTATTTTTCCTGGAAATATTCGTCGATTGACATACTCCAGCTTGCTGCTCTAATTTCGCTCATGACATTGATCCAAAACTACTCGCCTACGGCTCGTAGTTTTGATAACAATGTCATTCACGAAATTACTAAGCAACAAGCTGTCGTAACAGTCACCGAATATTTCCGGCAAGATATTATCACTTGTGGTATTATATATGAGAATATTCCTTCTCAATACTTTCACCCAACTAAGAGGTTCAAACTTGAACTATGGAAACTTTCGTGATTAGGTTTTCTCAATTCAGAATTTCATTCCACGTCCTGTATGATGCATATAAATTTTTCATACAGCAAAAAATACAATTTCCTATCCTAATGTGATCAGAAGAACTCCAGCAAATTTGAAGGAAACGGATTAGGCATTTTTTTACAAAGATTCAGGTGTTCGATTCGGACTAGTCACAAATACTCCTATATCAATTTTCAAAATAATATCTCATACGGGATGTTTTTTGTCAACGTTACAACGCCTACGGCTCGTAGTTTTGATAACAATGTCATTCACGAAATTACTAAGCAACAATGACCGAATATTTCCGGGAAGATATTATCACTTGTGGTATTATATATGAGAATATTCCTTCTCAATACTTTCACCCAACTAAGGGGTTCAAACTTGAACTATGGAAACTTTCGTGATTAGGTTTTCTCAATTCAGAATTTCATTCCACGTCCTGTATGATGAATATGAATTTTTCATACAGCAAAAAATACAATTTCCTATCCTAATGTGATCAGAAGAACTCCAGCAAATTTGAAAGAAACGGATTAGGCATTTTTTTACAAAGATTCAGGTGTTCGATTCGGACTAGTCACAAATACTCCTATATCAATTTTCAAAATAATATCTCATACGGGATGTTTTTTGTCAACGTTACAATATCTTTTAATAATTGCACTTTTCAAGTCACCGGGTACAACCCTGACCTAATTGCCCTTCATTATCAGGTGTGGGGTCGTATGATACTAAGATACCCGCTGGGAAGTGTTAAAATCCACAATTCACTTTGTATCTACAATTTATCTATAATCTAAGTTAATTCCGGAATTTTTTCATTCTTGACATAAGTTAATATTTTTGATCATGTATCCCAGTTGAAAGGTTGAAAAAATGTACAGCAGATTTTCGGTAACTAACTTACTTCTGGACCGTTGAAGTCCACCTTTTGGAGAAGAACAGAAAAATTTTATAACCTCAAAAACTATCATTTTTTGCAAAATCCATATTAGGGTTAAATCCACTCTTTACCACATACCCTATCACATCTCCAAAGGAATGTAAATGCTTATACATATAAGAATGAATTAGAAATAAAGCAGTTGTCCAAATTGTTTTCCATGAATGGATAAGTAATCACCATTGACCGCCCTCCTCCTTATTGTCAGTGAAAATCTAACACTATCAATGTGTTGTTGATCGACAGTTTTATTGAACAATGAACTCATAATGAATATCAATCAACAAAAAATGGAAGGTTTTACAAGTGTTAACTCGAATTGCTCGAGACCATCAAAACGTCAATATTGGCTTCCTCGCCATATCCTCGTATATTTTCAACCAGCCTCTATATCTCTTATCTCTAAGATTGTTCTGGATTGTGATCGTTCCGTTGATATCCAAAAATTGAAATTTATCTGGTCGAACTTTTGGCCAGATCACGTAATCCAATAGGGGCGATTTGGTGGGTGTAGGATTCCTGAAACAATATAGGTAATCTATCATCCAATTTATTTGTCTAACGAGCATACGCAAAGTAGTCCTTCCTTGCACCCATTTGCGTGCGAAAAGTCACACTTTTCCGCACGCCTTGCAGATAAGATTTTCATCCGCACTCAGTGCGGAAAAGTGCGAAACTACTCAAAAACCTTACTAGTATGGAAAATTTAAACTCATTTCAGTTGTTGTATAGACTATTTTATGCAATATGAGAAACCGTTGCGAGTGTGTTATCCCGAATCTTCCAACTATATTTCCTGATATTTGTATGTATTTCAGCAAGAAACATATGGAAAAAAATTAAGTATGATGATAAATAATATTGTCCGAAAAAGGGTAGTTCGTATCGTGTGTGATGCCTCGCTCACAAATTCACTCACTTATCTGGAACACCGTAGGAAAGTTGTAGATCTAGCTCCATTTTATAGATATTTTCATGGACGATGCTCTAATGAAATATCAACAATTGTTCCTCCCTTTGCAGTCCCCGCGAGATTAACCCGTCGAGTTGAGGCTTCGCACCACTTCGTGTCCCTTTGGAGACCTGCAGAACATCTCTTCCCAAAGACTCGTTCATCCAACGAACAGCGAGTCTTTGGAACAAATTGCCAAGGAAGGTGTTCCCCGAGGCATATAACCTCCGGAAATTTAAGAGGAACACCAATTCCTACCTCATTTCCCTTGGTTCTCACGATGTTCTCTGAACATTACAGGATATCCCTTTTCGTGGTAACCAGAACATAACTTGTTAACTTTGACATGTCAAATTTTTTCTCAGTTTCTGTCAGCAAGAGTTAACAAACACCCACACTTTTCTATACTTGAAAATATGAGCAGTTTTAACGAGGAGCTATCAATTTTCATGATTGATTGGTCCTAAGCACATTAGCATACATTGCCTTTAGAGCGCTGTTGACAGTCATCATCAGTGAATATCAGTGGGTACACGGAAGGAAAATATTTTTCAATTCAAGTAACCAGTAATCAAAACATCGAGAGGTTGCTAGTTCGAATCCTTGGGAGAGCAGCAAATTTTCAACCATAAAACGAGCTATAAATACAGTACTAATTTCCGTAGCCTCGGCTGGAGACGATTCCGCACGATTCTCTGTTGCGTTCCAATAATATACACAAAAAAATTTACTCTTGGATTTAATGCCATCATGATTCAAGGATACTGACTTCAATCTAACCATAGTTGACTTCAAATCAAAATCAATTTCTTGAAGCAAGCATACGACTGCGTTTGAACGAAAATAATTCTTCTTTTATCGTATGGTCTCTGTTGAAAATCATTGTTTTTGATGCAAAGTCAAGTGTTCTCACCTCGAGTACATCATATTTTTGAATTCAAGATTAGTCAATATTTTCATCCAAAATTAGTATTGCTATTTGGTTTTGAAAGGGGATTGAATGCTTTTGGATGAAAATCATTTTAACGGTTTTCGATTTTCCCTCTAATATCCCAAGAGCATGAAGCTCTTGAGTCCGTGAATTCCTTGAAAGAAATGGAAGGGGAATCGGCAGACGCGTGCCACAGCTCATTTACATTTAGTCAGTGCAAGGTCACATATAGGTAAGTGTTTTACTGTTTTCGTCTTTCCACTTCCAGTTGTGAAAATATATGGAAAATATTCCTCGCATCGTGTAATTCTAATCATTATGTGTACAACAATAGAAGACCTCCTCTTATCCTGGAATATACCACAGGAAGTTATTACAAAATTTATACCACCACGAAGCAGAATCAGCGTGGAAAAAAACTATGGAAATTTTCTATCACTGCGGCGCAAGAAGGAATAGTAGTTCAAGTTAAGGTGAGATACAGAGTAGATATGTATTATGTTGAGTATCATTAACCACTCTTTCATCTTAGGATGTGTCTATGATAGAAAACACTCTGGAACGCATTGAAAAAGCGGCCTCATCTAGGCACCAGAAGGTCCAGCCTTATATGCTGGCATGTGGCACTGACGTCTCCGATCTTCAAGCTGTATACTTATATATACTTATATAATCATATGTTGAATACAAGTACAAAATAATACGAGAGAAAAAAAAACTCATTTCAAAAGCATCAAGTTATCCCTGAGAAAAGAGAGTGATGTACCTATTCAAAGCGAGAATACTATGATCGAAAACCAAACTCATGTTGATTTAAGATGAAGAGAATACACAACTGGGAGCAAGGATAACACGTTTTATATAGAAAATATTGGTATTTTTGACCCAAAATCAAAATATCCTCAATGAGAGACCAATGATGACTCCAAATTGAAGGTACTCAGTTTCTTCATCCAATATATCCCATAATCTTGGAATATGTTTTCCATTGAAAAGTACTGTATTCTTCATTTGTGAGAATAACTTGGTCTTGAAACGAAGTCTTGATGCCTCTGAGGCTATATGCACCTCATGATGTCGTTGAAATGAGAGCATTACTCTCAATTCAAGAGTAGATTTTTTTGTGTAAATTAACACTGTTGCACCTAAGTTGCGTATGGACTTAGTAACGAAACCAACACAGAACACTCATGAGCTCTCGTAAGGTCGATGGCTAGTTGATATGTACAAGGTGATTCAATCTTCCCAACCTATATATATATATTTTCGTATTTGACCATTTTGAATACGTTGAAAGCTGGTAAAATACTTTTGAAATTCGTGAAGAAAACTTCAAAATGTTTAAATATCACGGAATGATGTTTTTTGCAGTTTGAAGTACGTTGAAGCCTGAAGTATTGAACTTTCAGTGTACTGAATACCTATATACCTTCTGGTATGAACTTACAAATATTTCATGAAATTGGTGATCAGTGTCCTGTACCGATCACTTGTCAATACATCCATTGGTGAGCCTCTTTCTATAACATCGACTCCTCTGAAGCGCCATATGAAGACGATATCATCCCCATGAGCGACTTTATGGACCCCTATAAATAAATGAGGAAATCACTCTTTATGATTGTCATAGTAAAGAGGTTTATTTGGACAATTTTATATTCCTTGGACACATCATATCAGAATTTTTGAAACTAGGTAATGATTCGTATTTGAGAACAAATCCAATTGACAGTTTTCTCAAGAAGGAATCCTGTATTATCGCATCCCTGTCAACCAGAGTTGATCGAGAAATATTCTAACATTGACTTTTCTCGTATCTTCAGTAATAATGTTGGGAAAAGCTTGTGTACGAAATTATTTTCAAATCAACCGATTTGGAGACTGACTTTGTTTACTGTCTCTAGTTTATACCGCTTCTCATAGAGGGCATCGTTTACCGACTTCTATTTTTTCGGATTTTCTCGAAAAATTCAAATGAAATGATACATGTTTGAATCATTGATCTCAAGAATTAATATTTTCTTCACATAGAGAATGTGGATTTCCAATGTATTGCTTTATATACTCATCCATTTTCTCATGTTCATAATATATATGAGAATATTCCTTTTCAATACTTTCATATATACCCAATCGAGGGGTTCATACTTCAACGATGGAAAATTGTTATGAATGCAGATTCGTGATTGGGTTTTCTCAATTCATAATTCCATTCCACGTCCTGTATGATGAATATCAATTTATCATACTTGTAAAAACAATAGAAATACTCTTCTTCGTTACTTATCATCTGTATATATAATAATGACTAATATAATCAATTTTATTATTATTTTCAAGTGGATATGTGCATAATCAGGTGAAACATCTACATTTGTGGAATACAAACAAAAAGTAGTAGTCACGTTCATCAAATAGCTTATCTCAGAAAATTGGTGGGAAGTCTTCTTCAAGAAGTTGCTTGGTTATGGTCTATGGAACTTCATCCATGATACGTTATACCAATTCTACCACAATACCACAAAAGCTTTCGAAAGATATCAACATAAATAAGTCGCATGGAAATTGCGAATTGAATGTCTCAGGAAGTCGAGTTGGGGAACTCTCAATACTATATCAATATGGGGATGTTTAAATTCTCAAAGCGAAACCATTATAGCCAATCTTGGTCCCCAAAATAATCTTCAATGTGATATCCATCATAATAAATTTACGAAAAAATATTAAAAATACAACTAGTATCATATCTTGAAACAAATAATATTCTAAATCGAAACCAATATGGATTCAGAGAGAACTTTGGAACCCCTGACGCGATTCTCAACCTCATCGATGTGATTTTGGAGTTTTTCGAGAGAGGAACATACTCAGCTTCTGTCTTTTGTGACCTTAGTAAAGCCTTCGACTGTGTATCTCACAGAATATTTGTTGAAAAGTTGCCTAGTTATGGTTTCGGCATTAACAGCATAATGCTATTAGAAAATTACCTCAAGAATCGTGAACAATCTGTCTTACTTAATGAAAATATATCACAACAATTAGTAATCGAAAATGGAGTACCACAAGGCTCTATTTTAGGGCCTGTGCTATTCCTCATATATATTAACGACTTTCCAATGGCGACTCTCTACGCGGATGATACCACCATCTCTACAAGTGGAGCCGAACTAGACAATCTTCTGATACAATGTGGAGATATACAGTCGAAGGCTGCCGCATGGTTTGCAACAAACAAACTAGCTCTGAATCATACAAAGACAGTAACGATGATATCATCAACGAAAGATCTGACACACCAATCTGATAACCCGAATTTTGTGAAGTTCCTGGGAATAAACATAGATTCAAAACAACTATGGGATGTCCAGGGGAATAACCTAGCAACATCATTAACCAGCTATATATAATATGCTCTGAGACAACTTACATTTGAAACGTCCAAACATATCCTACTAACAGCATATTTTGCGCTATTCCACTCGAGAATGATATACGGAATACTCGCTTGGAGACATGCGACAATTTGGCATATAGAATCTACCAGCTCAAAAAAAGAGCTGTTAGAATCGTGGGAGGAGTGGGCTATCGTGAAGATGTTAAGAATATATTCATACAGCAAAAAATACTCACTTCACCTTGTGTCAATATTTTGGAATGTCCAACATTTGTAAAAAATAGCCCTGATAGATTTACGTTGCATAAAAAAAATCATGATTACAATACTAGTTATAGAAATCACATTCATCCAAATTTATTACGCCTGAACAGATCAAAGACTGAAACCTCTTACTATGGTTTGTTGACCTACAATAACTTGAACGAAGATATTAAAGACTTGAGTATGCCTCGTTTCAGATCTGTAATAAAATCGGTTTTGATGAAGAATGCTTTCCAAAATATTCAAGATATTATTGATTCCATTAAAAATTTGAAAATCTGATACTAGTTCTGTATAGTGTACTATTTGTTATATACTTTTATCTTTTTACAATATTTTGTGCTGTGTTTTATACTATTGCAAAATGTTTTTTTTTTGACGATGTAAGATTTCTTTTAAATTTTTAAACAGAATATATACTACTACTACTATTACTACTACTATAGTATTTCTTGCGATTCACTATTACTTTTCTAGCTGATTGGTTTGTTTGGCCAGGTCATCAGCTAGTTGATTGAAAATTGAAAATCTTAATACGGTATGTCAACTTTTGAGGCATATTGTACGTACCTTCAAAATCTGGTTTGATTCCATTCAATTCTGGTGTTTCATAAGAGAAACGGTAAAAAAATACATCACTGTAATTGGATTGTAATTCAGCATGACGAATGATAGCATTAGTAAAAGTAGATTCACTGAAATACTGAAAATAATATCGATTAGATATGCAGGAATATTCTTTGTTTTTCGAAGGATTCGTAAAATCTTGAATATTACCTTGACAGTGATACCCAGATTATCAGAAAATAGCCGCCCATGAGTGTATAGATTGTGAATAACTTCACCAACTTGTTTTTTCCCTTGTTCTTCATCTATATTCATATTATCTAGAACCATACTCCCAGGATTCAGATCTAGTTCTCTTGAAATATCTTTCCATTTCTGAATTTCATCTGACAAAACACTTGTTTCATCTGTAGAATCAAAATAGTTATCATTTTCTATGCAGTGAGATTTCAAAATATGTACGATACATATTATGTATACAGTGTATCGCAGTTGAAAATCTCTTGGACATACCGGTTTTAATTTGGTGGGGGACACATTTTTCTGTAACTTAACTATCATATCTCAAAGTTGAAGTTGAATCAGAACGGGCATCAACTTATGATTTTGAAATGTCCAGTACCTCTCTCATTCCATAATCGGTCAGTGATTATGATAACAATTTTAACAATACCAAGTTTGATGGGGTTTCCTCAAACGGGCACAGAGATTCAGCTGATTGATCTTTCAACATATTTCATGAGTCTGACCATAGATTTGAAGACAAGATTTCTGCTGGCGGAGTTACCAGTTAGATCACTGAGTTATACAGGGTGTTTGGTGCATCGTGTGCCAAACTGAAATGGTCGAATGAAGGGGTCATCTGCTATCCTTTAAGCCTAGTCAACACCTTTCATGCCTTATGGATTATTTTTATTCGTTTTTTCATCTGTTTATTAAAAAAGAGCCAAATTCCACATTCAAATACAAATTTTTAAAAAAGTATGAGGCGTAGACTCTGAATTCAGATGTGTGTTGTGTTAGAGTACTTTTAAATACGAAACCAGTGACATAAGTCATCTAGTTTTCTTCTAATTTACTCGCAAAGTTTCAAAACATGTAAAACTCAAATTGAAGCTGTGACTTTACATGGCAACAAAAAAAAACGAAAGAGACCAGGATCTTCCAACTCCCTCAAAAGTTTTATAGATCATATTTTATATATCAGAGACTCTTCAAAACGTATGATTTGTCCTTCAAGGAATATGCTAGGCAATTTTCTCGACAATTCTTCATGACTACTTGACAAATTTGATCAGCACGATATGTTACATGCTCTAATTCAAACTCGAGGAGGGCATATCTACTCGTTATTGACTACAGGTCTGCTGTTTGTTTGTTCATTGTAATCAAGGTTTCCCGGTAGCGATTTTACTAAATATACTGTACGCTAGCACAAACCACGCCCACCGTAATATCTCATCTTCGAAGTACTTAGGCAAAACTCAGAGACTAAACTAACCTATCCCTGATTGCAATATTTTTGAAGAAGGAAAACCGAATGGAGTGTAGAAACACATTGAATAATAATATATTTCAAAAGTTGAGTTCTTCAACAAAATTTAATAAAATGAGACTGTTTATCCTAAACGCACTGACCTATTTGACTTCAAATATTTTATGAAAAAGGAAAACCAGAATGAAGTAAAACCATGGACCTTCAGACTGAAAGTCGACAGCGCTAACCAGTACACCATTTGGGTATATGAATGCACTGCGTACAAGAGATTGACAACGAGAGAGCTTCAGTCGAATTCGTGTCAAAATCATAAAAAGTGTATTCTTGCGTTGGAGCACAGTATATTTAGTGCGATGTGCTGACTCCGAGTATATCGGTAATGTTTGGAGATATGACGTATTATGGTGGGCGTGGTTTGTGCTAGCGTGCAGTATATTTAGTAAAATCGCTTCCCGCGAAATGCTAAAGAAATGATGTGGATATGAGTGATATTGATTTCCTCCTAAGAATTGAAAAATGCCATACTTTTATCAAAACACTCGTATCTTTTCTCAAAAATAAGATTATAACGTGAGCATCGTCAAATCAAAAACTACTGTGTCAAGAAAGGATCACACTTCAAACCAAAACATGATGAAGCCAAGTTCAACTACTCAATTTCGACACAGGGTGTTAGAAATAAGGGGCGAAAGAGTAACTTTTGGTTTTTTCCTGATGTATGATGATCGAGTCATCAGCTTTTCACGTAAACTAATATTCAGGTCTACATTCCAGAACATTAATCTACGATTAGATCAAAATTTCATGAAAACCCGACAAGTATTAAATAAGTTACAGTGTACAATTTGGACACATTTTTTGGTGGTTGGTTATTTTTGCCGGTCAGTGTATTTGACGCAATTTTCAGACTATATAGATACGGTCTTTCATCACTGACCAAACCGATTTTTGAATTTCATGATTATCGGAATAACTTACACAGAAAATAATTTTGTACGTAAAATCAATGAACACGGCGGTCGTCAGTTTTTTGAACATTAATATTACGAATCGATGATTATTACAATCATTTCTGATGATGGGTTCATACCGCAAGACACTGAAACAATGAACGAGCCAACAAATAATGAACGAAAAACATCAATAGTTAATCATTTTTTTTATTCATGTGATGAAAAAATTCATTGAATCAACGTTTGATGTTTATTGATCTATGTTTTTCATCATTGGAGCAATGAACTTTTCGTCATAGATCTATCAACAACAAACATAAGAAAATAATGAATGGTTTTCATTTTTTCAATGAACACTAAACGTTGATTTCATGAAATGAAACATCAACTTCCAAAACAGGCGCCAAATTAATGCTGCCTACCCATGGATCAATCACGCCAAACATTATTACTATGAAAAGGTTTCATAATTCGCGGTGAATTTTTCATTTGCCGTTTTATTTTATTTCTATTCGTTCAGTTGTTAATGAAAAGTTGAAAGGGCTGGGTCGTGTTTTGTGTTTCTGTGGCTCGTAGAATTCCTACCTATTTGTGAAATTGTGCCAGATCAAAGGGATACAAAACCTAACATATTTGAGAAAGGTGAGTCCTGTTAATTTTGAATTACTTTTTTCAAAATTCTTACGATTAGGATATATTTACTCAGCAAACATTGTACATCGAATTCCGGCCTAGTGCAGGCAAGTGTGAGAAAGTGTCGATGCCGGTGTATTGCTAATGGCCGATGATTTCTCTATGCTAAGTAACCATCAGTTGAAAATACGATGATGGCCTTGTGATGGTATGATGTATAGAACGAGTTGAGCCGTTACCACCCGGTGGTAACGGTTGAGCACTAACGAGTTGTGGCGTTGTTGTGGCCCCTTGCTGGCCAATATCCTGTTCACTACTCGTCCCACTGGTGGATTTTCTGGGAACGTCTACATCAACAATCAGCTGATCATTTGGATAATTATTATATGTCACTCTAGTGATAGCGTATGTTTCGTTTTTCTCTGGTTTGTTGTCAGTTCATTGTGCTCATCACTTTCCCTGGTCGTTATAATGGCAGTTATGGTGGCAGGAGTATTCTCAATTGATAATATAGAAGATGGATTCTTCAATGATGATAATATGTATTGAGTAAGTATCAATCTACCTATCTAGTGTTCCAGATTTTGTTATGAAATGCATGTGTTTGTGATGATAATAATTGTAGTGGCTCCTACCCCTCCAGAAGCGTAACTATCATGGACTGCTTGGTTCGTTACTATCAAAAGTAATATTAGGTTATGGAAACCTGTCTCTATCATTGAAGTGAATAACAATAAGGCCTGTGCCAAAAAAAATAACGAGACTTGAAAAGCTCCATATGTAAGTATATATCACGTAATCAGACTATATATTGATCGAGTTATAAAATCATGTAACAGAGTATTTTGTTTCTCATACTTCTATGAAGAAAGAATTCTGACATCAAGAAAGGCCACTTCATGATAACTTATGAAGAATTTTATATTTCAAGAGTACCTACCTCGCAACGAAGAATCTATTTTGGAGGAATGCTTCCCAAATAAGATGAAAATGTAGATATACCAGCCGGTAAGCAGTCACTCTGAGAAGTTTTATCATGAAAGAAGAGAGAGGTCAAGAAGATATCATTGTGTCATTCATAAATTGTTTCCTTGAAATCTGGTATGTGTCTATTTGATATAATATGATGATAAACATTAAAAATTATATTGAGTTACTAGGACTTCCAGATCAATTGGACCCCTGAAACCCCTACCCCTCCCTCTACCCCTCCTCCTACCCCTCCTCCTATCCCTCCCCCTACCTCGTTAATATGTACCCAATGTCGATAATTGGCCATTACAGTCCCATCATTTATGTATGTGCTGGGCTTGCTATGGGCAACTCAATGTGTCGATTATGTTGTACCCATATCAAAATGTTTGCTGGGTAGGTACTCGTGGGATGCACAAGGTACTATTCTTTCTACAACTACTGGTTATTGTCATCACATTGATATCATTTTATTTTCCACAGAAAATGAAAATCAAGTTAATTAGGTGTTCAGATCAGTATTTGCCTGATTTGACAAAATTTCCGTTGCCTTGTATAGGGAGAGGGGGTATAGGTGTTGGGATTTTTTTTTAACTTCTGGAGGTTATTATCTCTTGAAAATACTTCCATTTGCAAAGAATTCCAAAGCCTCGCCGTTCTATAGACGAACGAGTTTTGGTAGAGTGTAGTTCAACATATTTCAAAGTTAACAAAGAAAGAATGTGCTGACTGGGCCGGTCGAGTTCGTCTGACTGGTATTGCTTGTGATTGAATTATAGCAGAGATAAAAATAAAAATAAAGAATAATGATATTTCTTTAAGAAAACCAGTGTTCTGCGACTGCCTTGTAAATGTATATTATATTATTCGTCAGGTCACATCAAATCAGTGGATGTACTAGATAATTTTGGGCCAATTTTGGGTTTTTCAAAATTTTAGAAATTAATTACTCTGATGCGTGAAAAAATTGTCCTCTTATTTCTGATAGTGACGATACTGTTGACAAAATTATCTTCGACGACGACTTTACCACCGTTAAATACCAATAGAATTTGTTCGCTACATCGATAACTGGCGAACACAGATTCATGCTCACTTTTCATTGATTCAATGAAGAAAATCATCAAGTGATGTCTATCGTTCGTAATATCAATAACCGCCGATCATAGATCCATGCTTGCTGATTATTGATTCAATGTTCAGCTGTAATAAACTGACTCTGTCCTTCGTAACTGGCACTTACATATTCATGCTCACTGTTAATTGATACAATGTACATCAACCATAAACCAATGTTTATCATCATAGATCCATGCTCGCTGTTCATTGATTCAATGTACAACAACCATGAACCAATGAAAATCCATTCGTAATATCAATAACCGGCAAACATAGATCCATGACCATTATTCGTTGATTCAACGTACTGCAGTCATAACTTAATCAACAAGAACGTACGACCGTTCATTGTATCAATGACACCCGTCATCGGCCCAAAATTATGTTGATTGATTTGATGTACTTTTTTATTAATATAACGTACCTTTTTCGTTCTGTGTACCATCAAATTTGTTGAATCCTTCCTCAGAACCAATACCGATGAGTAGGGGCACTCTATTCATACGTCCTTCTTTTATTGCTGAATACATATTTTCAGTAAGGAACGCTTCCCCATGCTCTGGCTCTATAACAGGGCTGAACAAGAAACCTTGAATTTCCATGTGGTCTAATAGATATTTCTGTAAAAGAGTATAGTCTTCAAGCGAATGTCATGTGATATCTGAGATATGATATCTGAGATATGATATCTGAGATTTGATATCTATATTCAGTTTGAACATCAATTGAAAATTTCAACACAGTGTAAATTTTTAACAATAGTAAAAGTCATGATGAAATTATATTCCAATGAACTGGAGAAGCATTTTCGCCAACATGTCATTTTTGATATACGATGAATATAGCTCTCATTACCACTTTTAACAAATACTTCATTCAATAAGAGGACATGAAAGAGGAGATGGATATGTCTATGGTGTAGATAGGAAGTTAAAATTCCAATAGTCCTCAAACTTTCAAGGTGAGACAAGCACAAAAGGCGACGTCGAAGTTTCCTTTTTCAATTTATCGTTCATATCTCCAAAACGGTACGTCACAGCAAAAAAGTCAAATCAATCAAGATTGTACCTGATCAAATTGTCTACAAAATTTGTCATTTTTCAAAGTTATTCTTGAATAATTCGGAAATCGCGGCCTCTACAGAGAAAATTCAGTTAGAGATACAAAATTGAACAACATGGAATTTTCTATAAAAGATCTTAATTTATTTTCAACTAGTCGGTCAACCAGCCACTCCCATTTCACCTGAAATGGGATCTTGTTTTCGAGTGTTTCTTTCGTTGCCAGGTGGCGTTCGGCGTTCGCGTTTTCATTTGGTGGACTTCGAACGCCTCGTATGGTATAAATGCTGAGATGCTATTTACGTTGGGTCAGGTTCGCAGCAGATAGCGGTCAAGAAACTATCTGGGACAGCCCTGTACTGATGAGAGCCAAGAGCTCGAAACCGGTCTGCAGGTAGTCAGCGTTCCTGAACCACTTAAGCGCAGCTCAGCGTTAAGGAAGGAAACACTTGCGATTTTATTCGTCTATACGAACTATTGCATAGATTTCGGGAGGATGTATTTCAATGTTCTGCGTGGCATATAGCCAGGAAAGTAGTTGTTTTTCTCTTGTGACCATTGCATTCTACTTTGAGTATTTGGTTTTTTCCCTAGTTGGATATAGTGACCATTTGAAAGCAAGCCACCCTCATAATTTTTTTATTTACGGAGCGATTCTCACGAATTTTTTCCCCGAATATAGAGAGAGGAATGGTGTATTTTGAAGCTCAGCGCAACCTACTTTTATCAAAAACCAAGACCAACTAGATCAAATTAACAGGCTGAAAAATTCAGAATCCATATGAATGATTATTTAATGCGTACGCCACTTGAATTGACGTCTTCTGAAATACATCTGTACCAAGTTTCATGAAAAAATATTCAATATTACCGATTCTACAGCGTGTATTATTTCAAACGGCCTCCCCTCTATATGTCAGCTATTAGTCGTGCGATTCGTACAAAATTTAGACCAGTATGAGTAAAACCATCAATCTGATCACTTTTCGAAAGACGAGCATCATTCTGTGAAGTGCCGTGCTTCGTATTGAAATAAGAGAGGGTCAATTTTTATGAAACAAATGCAAAAAGTAACCTCATTCCAAATTAACAGGATTGTCCTAATTTTGTCATGTTCAGGCTGGGAAAAATAGTGAATTCAAATTATCTGCAAATTTTGAAACGTTCAAAAGCTCAGGTAGGTAGGAAATCGTGATTTGAAAGTAAAAACAAAATAGTTATTTTCCCAACAAATAGTATTATCAGACTGAAAGTTGATGTTCGATATAATAATACATACCGGAAAATTGTACACTACTGAATGGATATCTTCAGCAGAAACCGAACGAAGGAATTGTAGTATTTCTTCCGAACTGGCATTTTTATTGAAACTACTATCCAATAATTCAGCAAGATGATGAGCAATCCTTTTGTGGTGTAGTTGATATGACCAAGGATTAATAGGTGTGCCACTATGACATATAGCAGAGTTATATAGCCCTGGAATAGTAGGAACTAGAGTCACTAGATGGTATTAGTAGATGAGGATACACAAGAAAAAAAATCGTTTGAAACTACAAAATTTTTGTAAATTCAACAAAATCTGAGTACCTATCATATATCCAGGACAAAATATTTTGTCACCGCAACAAATGTTTTTTGTCAGTTTTCAATTCAAAAATCATTGGATATAACTCATTATAATGATTCAAATTAACAGCAGTAATTGGTTGAATAAACAAAGACTATTTTGTTCCTATAATACGCTATCTGCTCTTATGAACGATTCAGTTGATTGAAATGATTATATCATTTCATTCGAGTGACAAAATTTTCAGCTTTTCAGAGGGTGAATATGTTAAAATCACAAGAAATATTCTTCGATCAACCAAATTTTATTTCAAATTGACAGAATTTTTTGCTAAATAATATCAAAAAAGAATTTCAAAACCAAGAGAAATTAGAGATCAATTTCCTCAGTTGACTCAAGACCATTAGCTAGGACAGCCTAATATATTTATATAAAAGGATGTTTTAGGTAGGTATATGTACACCCTAATCGAGGCAAGCGTAGGAAGGTTGGAAGAACCGCCACCTGGTGGCAAAAATGAAGCAAGATAATCAATCAATAAAATATTTGTTTGATATAATGTATTTGTGGGTTCTGTTCAACGAAGTAATTTGTTTGAAATGACAACATATTTCTTGATAGTGATGTGTTGAATGAAGAAAATATAATGTTGTCATAAACCATTCAAATTTGTCGAGTAGAAAAAACCTTTCATTGGTTGCACAATGAAATGATTGTTGACTCAACAAAATATGATGTTGCATTTAGTTAAATCTCTGGCAAAATCAATTTAATTCTGTCGAATAGACAAAATTCATATGATTGATTGAACAATGAGATAATAGTTGGATCAAACAAATTTTTTTTATGTCAATTATAAATGTTGTTGAATGAAATGAAACTTTTGTTCAAGTATGCAAATATTTCAATCAAATTATTTCGTCTCTTTGAATAGGTTGCTTATTCGGAATGAACATATATTCTGTTGATTTCGCAGAATTGTGTTTAATTTAAAAAAAAAAAATGACCAAAATTATTTTGTTGGTCCAACAAAACTTTTTTTCTCGTGTACCATTCAGTGACTCTAGTAGAAGCCACATCAAGGTTTATTATTGACATACAAATTCAAAAACACAAATTGAAAATACAGGGTGTCCCAAAATTGCTGGGTTAGAGAGCTACCACGTGTAACAAGTCGTCAAAATGAGTTGATTGGACCAAATGTATTTTTACAACAAATTGTACCGTTTGTCCGTGAGACAAGTTCATAATTATTCACATGAAAAACATTTTTTTGTACATTGTTCGAAAATGGGTGAAATAAATTGGATGAATTATGAATTTAATAGGATTACCCTCCTTCTGGTAATCAAAGAAACCCGAATTCGTAGAGGGTTGAAACCACCCTCGTCCTCTTACATTTTTTCAGAATATTTTCAGGACTGGTAATACCGTTCTCAAATTCTCTGAGCGAAATGAATGATTAATTATCTTCATTTTGTCACCTATGTGAAAACAGACATTTCTTGTGAAAGTTTCCAAGGATTTTGAAATATTCAGAAAATCTGTAAATAAAATCATTCATTGATAATAATAATAATAATATTCACTTTATCCTTTGAGACATTACAAAATGTATAGGACAAGTCAAGCGCTTACAAAATGGTTTAAAAATGAAATACATGAGGAAATACACAAAATACAATTATTGTCAGTAAAAATTAAAACAAATGGCAACAATGGCTAAAATGGCTTCTACAAGTCATCCTGCAGATATTCATCTGTACTATAATAACATTTGGTAACCATTAAATTTTTTATAGTTCGTTTAAAAGAAGAATTGGAAATTATATTTTTAATTAATGTTGGAAGATGATTGTATAATTTCATTCCCATATATCTAAAACTATTTTCTAGTTCTGTTGTTTTGTGTTTGGGAATGCGTAGGAGATTTGAGTTTCTGATGTCATAGTAATGATTTGAATAATTCAGTTGGTAGGTATTGATGTTATTTCTCACAAACAGAAGACAGTGATAAATAAACACGCTGTAAAAAGACATTATTTTATATTTTATGAATCTTCTTTTGTGTCACAAATATTTTAGTTACATCGACTGAGTTACCCCATAAAATGATATTATATAACATAAGTGACTGTATACTAGACTATAGTATACATTAATTATTGCACTGGTGGGCATGGTGTCTCTTATTCTAGATATCGCATAATATGCCTTATTTAATTTGGTGTTAACAGCGTTAACTTGATCTATTCATCGAAGATTGGAGTCAATATTCAAACCCAAGAACTTTGTTGTTGCAGTTGATTCAATCATTGTTTGGTTCTCAAAGTTTATAGTAAGAGTACGTGAGTTGTTAACTATATTATGGGAATGAAAATATACGCATTCTGTCTTCTCAACATTCACCATCAAACAGTTGGACTTGCACCAATTCACGAAGGTTCGTACAGTATCCTTGATAGAAGACATGAGTTCCTCCGAGGTCTGTGCATAGAGACTGCCAATGATGTATCGTCCGCATATATGGTTAGAAGGTGATGATTCAAATGTTTTGGTAAGTCATTTATGAAAAGTAAAGATATTAAAGGCCCCAACAGAGATCCCTGAGGAACTCCTCTGTCCATAGTGTAAGATTCTGATATGGCCTCCCCTACTTTTACTAGCATCTTTCTATTGGTTGAAAAATCTAATATCCATTCAAGAAAAATCCCTTTAAATCCTATATTTCATGATTTATTTTCAATGAATTTTTATCGCCCTCTCACGACTTAACGGTTCCTTTTTCGTGTAGAGGTAAGTTGATTTCTATCAGTCTATTTTGGTGTCTAGTTCTCCCTGCATGAAAACTATGTCATACCAATTCAATGAATATACTGGGAGATAGATATGTCACATCCTCTTTGATGGACATTGATGTAAATTTTTTGGAGAACGCCACTGAATATATTTCGACATTTCAATGATTGACACAACTAATTACTCAATTCTTTTCTAACTGCAGTTTTTTTTTTCAATTCTGCTTGTCCACACTTGTTGATAATGTCAGGAATTATCATACTATCTGTAGGTTAATCGAGGAGGTGGTACATTCAGTTTACTTGATTTTTTGGGATTTTCTCTCCTCGTTTCTATTAAAGGAAAATATGCGTATTATTTCAATATTCTCGTAGTGAGACAAATCCATGGACATTTTGTTTATACGTCCATAAACAAATCAGATGATGTTCCCCAAAATGTCACTGCGATTAATTTGTGAAAAAAAAGTCACCCGTCCCCGACCAACTTAGTCATTTTCTACCTTTTTCAAAGCAATATTTGACTCCAGAGTCGAATTTCAAAATAGATTATTATCAAAAGTTTTTCCCTTATGTTGCCAATTTTATGGATGCGTGCTTAATGACCTCCACATAATAAGCTATTAACATTCATACTGTCTGTAGGTTAATCGAGGAGGTGGTACATTCATTTTACTTGGTTCTTTGGGATTTTCTCTCCTCGTTTCTATAAAATAAAAGTATTCGTATTATTTCAATATATTTGTAGAGGGACAAATCAGATGATTTGCCCCAAAATGTCACTGCGTTTAACAAATTTTTCTATCAGGGAGTCTAAAAGAAAAATCCAGTAGCTTGTCAGTGACAATTTGTTTGAAAAAATTTTTGAAGGAAAGAAATATAGATATATTGAAAAAATATCGAATTTGTACTTATCTTTGGACGTTTCGGGACCGATTCTGCTCCCGTTCTCAACATGTAAATGCAAATTATTTTTCTTTGAAATTTTTGCTGCGTATAGTTTGACACTTTTCAATGTCATACTGATGTTGGCATATGAATGAGTGATTTTAGTCTACAAATGAGTTACAGGATGTTTTCATTAATTGATCTTCAATCTACCATTTTCATGTTCAGTTTTCAGTAGTGAATACCATGTTCTATCAATATCAACTGAACAGGAAGCAATGCTATTGTCTCCGTTTAGAAGAATGCAAGCGGATTCCTTTATTTTTCTTTTTTGTTTGTTATCTTCCTTTCCTATGATTTTGATATTATTCCACTGTGCCATATGTTGTCCATCTTCAGTGAGGATATGTTCAGTTAGCTTCGATTTATCGATATGTCTTTTCTTGATATTGTACTTGTGTTCTTTTGTCCTTACTGAGAGAGGTCTCTTCGTTTCACCTGTATAATACTTTCCACAAACACAAGGTATACTATAAATACAATTTTTTGATGATTGTTCTTCATTTTTTGGCTTTGTTTGAGTTAGAATGGATCTCATTGTATTTTCAGTTTTGAACACAGTTTTCACTTGGAACTTATCACCAACACGTTTTATTTTTTCAGATATGCCGGGAATGTACGGTATTATATTCGTCGTTATAAACGGAGACAATAGCATTGCTTCCTGTTCAGTTGATATTGATAGAACATGGTATTCACTACTGAAAACTGAACATGAAAATGGTAGATTGAAGATCAATTAATGAAAACATCCTGTAACTCATTTGTAGACTAAAATCACTCATTCATATGCCAACATCAGTATGACATTGAAAAGTGTCAAACTATACGCAGCAAAAATTTCAAAGAAAAATAATTTGCATTTACATGTTGAGAACGGGAGCAGAATCGGTCCCGAAACGTCCAAAGATAAGTACAAATTCGATATTTTTTCAATATATCTATATTTCTTTCCTTCAAAAATTTTTTCAAACAAATTGTCACTGACAAGCTACTGGATTTTTCTTTTAGACTCCCTGATAGAAAAATTTGTTAAACGCAGTGACATTTTGGGGCAAATCATCTGATTTGTCCCTCTACAAATATATTGAAATAATACGAATACTTTTATTTTATAGAAACGAGGAGAGAAAATCCCAAAGAACCAAGTAAAATGAATATTAACATTCATTTCACTACATTGAAAATATTTAATTATTGTTTCAACTCACCTTTAGATAACTTGCTCATCAAATGAAATCCGACTGATGCTGCTCCTGAACTATGCCCTACAATGCTGATTCTGTTTGGGTCCCCACCAAAATAATTTATATTTCGACTGACCCATTTCAATGCTAGAACTTGATCTTTCATACCATAATTTCCAGGAATAACATTGTCACCAGTTGAGAGGAATCCTAGGTGGAATGATAATCACCCAATAACCACCATAAATTTCAATCAAGAACTCAATATCATAAAACAAATTGCAGCCAACAACGGATACAACGTTAATTTGATAGACAGTATTGTATCTAAAGAACTTCATAATCAATCTATTCAAGAAGTTTATCCTACCGTCAAGAATAATAATCAAAATTATAGAACTTCAACCTATTTCGGATCATCGACTGAAAAATAAGCTTCATTTCTACATAAACAGGACTTAAAAGTGGCATATAAACTGCTCCACATTTGAAGTGAGACAAGCGAATATTTTGTTTGTTTTCGAACCGTCATAACTCTGGACGGGATCAACCGATTTTCGATTTTTTTAGGATTCGAATTGCTCAGTCAATTGGGCATAACATAATTTTCTTACGTTCCTCCACCTTTTCAGAATCATGACCTACAGGATGATATCTGAAAGTGTGATAATTTTCGAAAAGTTTGAGGTCACCCCGTTAGTAGGATAATTTTTGAAATTTTTTTCTGACTGCAAAAACATGAAGCCTGATGTGTTTTCTTGAAATGGTTTCGAATTCATCAAGATCCATACAGGATGTTTTGAGATATGCAATTTTGAACAACATATGGCCTCTCGAATTGTTTGAATAACTCTAATTCATTGGTTAACTCCTCGATATAATCTCATGTTGTCTGGGAAGTAATCAGAAGTTGTCATACTTTTGATTATTGTAATAAAATATGCTACGACTAGCTAAAGAACAATCACAAATGGTTCTCAGAATGAGAGATTTTGGATTAAATGTTGAAGACATTGGACAGTATTTCTTCACATCAAGAGCTTCAATATACACCATGCCGAGAAGAGTTAGGGCTCTCGTAGCAGCCAAGGGTGGTGTAACAAAATATTGATAAGTGACATCAAAACTTCCGTTGTTGATTCCTCTTTATTGAAAAATATTGTGGTACATATGATCTGTATTCTCTTCGTGGTATGTTCATCAATTCTCATTATTTTTATCCTCTGAAAAATACATCCTGATGAGCTTTATCGAGCTCTGACTATTGTCCCAGTCACAATTATGCAGATTTATGTAATATTCTACAAAATATTGTATTTATAGCCAGAAACATTCAATGTCGTTGTTGTTTTGGAATGATGATGATGATGATGATGAAAAATCTAACATTTCTAAAAGAAACAAAATTCCACTATACTACTGGAGCAACAATAAAAAACAAAATTTTATTCATGAAATAATCACTCCAGCACATTTATTTAATTCCTAACTACGAACTAACAGTTTGTCTTGGCATGAGTATGTCGCGAATATCGCTATATAAAGCAGTTTCACAGAAGCTGAGATTTTTCTTTCTCGTCAAGAAGTAGGTACTTACACCGCAGCAGCTATTGACTCATCACAAAGCTCAAATAAGACCATCTCTCCATAGAGTACTGTTCGCATATTTGGAAATATCACGCCCTTATTCAGTCAGAAGTTAAACATCTAGAACATCCTGTTACAGTGATTTTTTTGTAGCACATCGTCACTTTGGAATCCATCTTCTGTGGATACCTTCCCAGAAAATTACAATTTGAAGTAATTCAAGAGAAGGATTCACAATTTTTTGTCATCCAGTACTCGCAGTGCCTCTGTGGCATCATAGGTCCATCCTTTTGGGAACACTCCACCATAAAAACAATACCCAGACAACATGAGACTATACCGAGGGGTTAACCAATGAATTAGAGTTATTCAAACAATTCGAGAGACCATATGTTGTTCGAAATTGCATATCTCAAAACATCCTGTATGGATCTTGATGAATTCGAAACCATTTCAAGAAAACACATCAGGCTTCATGTTTTTGCAGTCAGAAAAAAATTTCGATTATCACACTTTCAGATATCATCCTGTAGGTCATGATTCTGAAAAGGTGGAGGAACGTAAGAAAATTATGTTATACCCAATTGACTGAGCAATTCGAATCCCAAAAAAAATCGAAAATCGGTTGATCCCGTCCAAAGTTATGACGGTTCGAAAACAAACAAAATATTCGCTTGTCTCACTTCAAATGTGGAGCAGTTTAGAACAAACAACACGTTGGGACGGTTTATCAGGAATAATATAGACGAAACTTTTGAATTCGAAAAATCAGGGGTATACAAACTCAAATTTTCATTACGAATAACACGTTGGGAAGGTTTTTTCAAAAACAATACAGACAAAACTTCTGAATTCGAAAAATTACGAGTATACAAACTCATCTGTGAATCTTGTCCTGAGCTATAAATCGGTCAGACAGGTCGTAAGTGCATTCTTGAAAATGAGGTAAATTTAAAAAATAGAGAGAAACTCAAAGTCATAACCACAATAGTTCATAAAATGATCGAACGAAAATAGTAGACAGCAAGAAATTTTTTGGAAAAGAAATTCAACATACGCCAACCATATATCAGAAGGAAACCATAGTTTTGATGATAATTTCGAAATTCTACACGTAGAAACTGAAAGAATGAAACTCAATCATTTTGAATCATTGGAAGTCAACAAACTCAAAATTTTTGACATTTCACTTAACGATCAATTAGACCTCAATAGTTCACCACTGTTGAATTTGTTTTCTTAATAGGTAATAATATGTATTGCTATCAACCCTTTCAAGTTAATCCGGTACACCGTATTTTGATGTAGATATTGCGGCTAATTTCCGAAAAGTTAAGCTAACCAAGGTTGGTTCAGTTGATTGTACCAGTATATCACCTGACGAAACTACTGTGTTAGCGAAACATGTGAATTTTGTTGAAATGTTATCGTTTGTGAAGTTTCTACAATCACCAATCCAGTGGGGATTCGAGATGATTTGATCATACTCAGCAATAATATTCAGGGAATATTTGAGCTAACATGTTGATTGATTAATCATTTCAAAAGACTGCAAGACTGTATAGATGTCATGAATGTGTGGTTTTCAGATGAGGTCATGAGAGAGATTCAAAATAGGGACAGATTACATAAACAAGCAAAGGTAACTAAAGAATTGGTTAGTGGAAGAAGAAATCAAAGAAGAAAACGAATTATATTTGAAGGGGAAAACGTGAGTTCCAACGATAAAATTTCAAACGCATTCAATTCATTTTTTATCAATAGCATAAATAATATTGTTGAAAACATCACCCCAGTAAACGATTTCGATAATACAATAAGAAAGATTCCTGGATTTGTGAATGAATTTCTTTCGTTTAAAAACATCTCTATGCAGGCGAATTGAGAAATATTGTTTCATCGTTGAAAAAGAACTCGTGTGATAAAGATGGAATCAATCGTACCATAATCAAACTAGCTTTTGACATCATTGGGAATCGATTTCTTGATACAATAAATTCATCTTTGAATACTGGGGTTTTTCCTGATGTATCGAAAATATCTACAGTGATTCTGATTCCAAAAGTACCTAATACACAATTTGCAGCTGAACATCGCCCAATCAATACATTACCGCAATAATTGAAAAATTGTTGAAGCTTGCCGTCAAAGATCAACTTCTTGAATTCATCAGTTCAAATGAAATAGTTATCGAACAACAATCAGGTTTTAGGAAATAATTTCACCTCATATTGATTGTTGTCGTACTTTACTGAGTTTCTTGAGTAACGAACAGATTGATACACTGCAAAAAGTCCAAAATCGTGCAATGAGAGAGCTATCTTGAGTTGTGAAAGACGCACACCAGTCACAACAATGCTGAACACATCGCAATTAATGAATATCAAGCAAAGAGTTTCATATAATACACTAATTTTTGTTTATAAATTGAAGAAAAACCATGTGGCCTTCGTATTCATCAAGATGTACATTGTCACAATACCAGAAGACAAGCAGCAAAAGATTTCTATATAAATTCAGTAAATATTGTCTGTGATACTTTATATATAAAAGGTCTGGTATTGTTCAATAATTTGCCCTGTGAAATGAAAAGATGTGTGTCACTAGATAGTTTTAAAGAATCGTGTGTCTTATTTGTGAAAGAAAATTATTGATTGATCAATAATTGAGAAAGGAGAAATCTGTTAATTACCCTTATATTAAAATATGTGACGTAATTCATGTGTCTGTGTCTTAGTTCTATATTTCTATGTTTTTATTTATTGACTTATCGTATTTCATTGTAGATTCAACTGTGATGAAGAGCACTGTGCTTATAAAGTTTGATATTTGATATATATATGATATATATTCTCACCTAGAGGACCTAAGCGGTACTTGAAAGTGACAGCAATAATATCATGGCCCATCAAATGATCTGGTCCATATATGTCATAGTCACCTGTGCCACTCAAAAATGCCGAGCCATGAATGTAAAACATAACAGGCAATAAACTTCCTGATGATGGACACTGGAAATATAGAAAATTATGCTGGTTACTTTTCCTTTATATGTATAGTTTCCATGCCGAACATCCCAACCGCTATTTCATCCTTCAAGATGCTCTGCTGAAATGTTAGAGATAAAACTGAAGTTGTTGATATATGAATCATGAAAATCATCCATACACGGAAAAAAAGGATTTGTTAAATCAACAAATTATTTATGCTTGAGTTATTTTTGTTGGTCTGAGCAATTTTTTGTTGAATCAACCAGATACATGATTATTCCATGGAAGCAGCTTGTTCAAATCAAGAATGTAGGCTAATTGAATCAACAGTATAATATCAATTCCATCAACAAAATATATGGTTTCTTCAAAAACAAATTATTTCGATCCAAAATGATGTTGATGTTGATTCAACTATAAATATTTCGTTAATTTGATCAAACAATGATCATTTTGATGAGATTATATCTTTGAAACAATATACAAGTTTTCTTCTTTCGATGTAGCAATAAACTCGTTTCGAACGGATCCTTTGCTTGAATAGAGCAACGAAATACGTAAAATCAATTAAATATTTTGTTCATTCCACATCAACTTAAATTTTCGCCTCTAGATGGCGATCATTTCGCCTCGTCTATGCCTGTGCCTCGAATTCATTATATAAGTGAAGCCTGATTCTTCGTGTTTGAAATATGAGCTGGATGAATCGAACTTAGGATGATTAGCAATCCGAAATAGTTTTCCATCAGCTAAGGAGATGTAAAGACTTGAGATCTATGCTGGGAGTCGACTAGTTTCCTAGTTTTGTTTATTCTATTGATGTGAAATTCCAGAAAATTTCCGAATATTGGATTTGGTTCAACAAAACAATTTGTCGAATGGATATATAGTTTCTCTTGAATCAATAAAATATTTCATTGAATTAACCAAATATTTAATTGAATCAACCAAATATTTTACTGACTCAACCAAATATTTTTTTGAATCAACCAAATATTTCGTTGAATCAACTAAATATTTGATTGAATCAATATCTTGTTATTTTGAATCAAACAAAATGATTGTTTGAGCCAATTCAATATCTCTTCATAAACAATTCATGGATATGTGCTTGATCGAAGAAGATCCAGAGTTCATGCAAGACATATTTACTTGATTCAAACTTCAAATTCGCTCTGAAACAAGATATAGATTTACTCATTTCAAGATTATATTTTTTCGTGCATATATGACACTTTTATTCGCTCCATTCAATTGAATTTTGCTTGATTCAACAATTCCTTTTTTTCCTTGTATCTCAAAGTGGTCCAATGTGACTTCAAAATGAAAAATGGAAAGAAGTAACACAAAGTCGTTCGACCAGACTTTATACAGAAAACTTCAGTAAGAAGTTACCGGTTTCGGCACTACAGCCATCATCAAACAATGATACCTAAAATAATATTATATGACAACAATGTGGACAAAACATTATTATTAACATACCAAACAATATGGGACTCAACGTGTAAAACAATAAATCATGATGGTAGGTACATACAAATGATTTTCGTCAACAGGTTGGAAGAATCTGGAGCATTTGTATAACGTTTTTAACACGTTGGCTGCCATGTGGATCACCGGTGAGCCACAAACATTTATCATCGCCATGCCATGTGGATCACATATGTTACACATACAGAATATATTTGAATGTGAAACAAAAATTCTCGGCTTCCAGATCAAGGGCTGCTATTTTACTGGTGGCCTCCTGATATACTAAGCTTTTTCAAGCCGTATCTGTATGACTGGTTCCATAAGTCTTTAGTGTTCATAGACGTGTTTATATTTTCGAGTAAATTTTTGCCAGGCTCGTGGTAAGACGAACGTAGGTACGTTCAGGGTGTTTGTTTTCATTGTTCAAGTTTGTGAATCGAAATGAGAGAGAGAGAAGAAACACAACCTGATTACAACAGAGGAGAAGACTATGGACGGTAGAAAGATAAGGAGACGGTGTACATCTTGTTATGAGAAGCGTGTGAATGAAGGCGATAGAGCTTTGGCAGTAAAAAAGGCTAAGTTAGTCTCGACTCTTTGTGATTCATGTAATAAATATATGTGTTTCACTTTATTCACTGAGAAACATTAGTTTTTATAATTTTTATCTGTAGATACACAATGTATCACCGGTGATACACGTGGCCCATACATGAAAGCAAATAACTGGTGTGCCATGTGGATCACCGGGGATTTTTCACATTTTTTGTAAAAAAAATATATTTTTATTCTTTTTGTATGTCTCCATATCCAATAAAATTATGAAAAATATATTTGCTTGATAACCACAGCTTGGCCCTTGAAGAAGCGCTTCAACTCTGTTATGGTGGCAGTCAACGTGTTAAATTCACTGAAGAGGCAGAAAAAATTGGCTCTGATAAGGTTAAACATATTGAAGAAAAATTGTTTTTATACAATCATCAGTTTGCCGTCAGTACTAATGAAAGGAACTGAAATTGTAAAAATTGACACTTATGAATGGAAAATGACTTCGACGTTGGACACGAAACAGATGTCACTCACTGATTTTCTGTTTCGTGCGGAAATTTTTCTAACAAGTGCGGAAAGTGATAATTTTCCGCACGCGACTGCTGTTGACCCGAACGACGCGGAGCAGAGTTCGGGCAAGCAACTAGGAACAATATTTTTTTTTATTTCCTACTGCATCATAGAACATACCTTTACGTACCTGATTTCAATTACATTTCCAATGCTGCCAGAACTCGAGAAATTTTTTTCTGATCAAAAGTCAGTCATATTATGATACACTGGGACCTCATCTCGGGACGTTTTCGTGATTTCTCCTTAATTGGCCATTGGAACAAAAATTCGATTTTTTTTCGAAAGTCTTGCATTTATTGTTTTTTTTCTCTAGAACTCCACTTGAGCTGACTATTGGGAAGAACTATTCTCATGTTTTATGGAGGATAATGAAAGACGAAAAAATCACTTTTTTGGAATATACAGGATGATAAGAAAATAGGACAAAATCTCATTTCAGTGAAAAAAATAAAAAATGGTGACTAAAACTATGGCCCATTCGATCCAGTATATTCAGAAACGGCCTTCTCGATATCCATTATTTATATTAGACTATTAACTCAAGATGTTTTCGAAAATTCGCCTCTAAATGAAATACAGGATGAAATTTTTCAATTCAAACTTGTTTCCTGATATCGATGATTTTCAATATTTATTGCCCAAGTATGAGAAACGGAGAATTGTTGTTCAATATACTGAGTGTTTTACAACTTATCTGACAAATTTCAACCACAACTACGATATAACATAAGAAGTCTATCACAAAAAAATTTTATAAAAGTGAAACGAGATGGAAAATAAAATTTGTAACACTTTATATCAACTAAAACTATTCGGAAAGGATGATAAGAAAATAGGACAATACAGGATGAAAATTCTCAATTCAAACTTGTTTCCTGATATCGATGATTCTTATCATTTTATCAACGGATTTCCAATATTAATTGCCAAAGTATGAGACACAGAGCATTGTTGTTCAATATACTGAGTGTTCCACAACTTATCTGACAAATTACGAACTCTAGAAAACAATAATGTTAGAAGAATGTGGTGACCAGCATTATCTCCAGATCTGAATTTGATTGAACATGTGTGGAGCCGAATGAAACTTAACCTATCGAGAAGGCGAGGCACCCCAAAATAATGACAAACTTATCCAGAATGGGCGGCAATATCAATAGACTCCATCAACAACCTCATAGAATCTATGCCAAACCGATTTCATGAGGTTTTGTTGAATCGGGGAGGCCTACCAAGTACTGAAATTTAGGATATAGGACTTTCTAGTTGGATCTTCATAATGCTGAAGAATTCACTAATGTCATATTCCGCCAATAGATCCCTTTTCTAATAGTTTTAGTGGATATAAAGTGTTACAGATTTTATTTTCCATCTCGTTTTACTTCTATAATTTTTTTTTGTGATAGACTTCTTATGTAATATCGAAGTTGTGGTTGAAATTTGTCAGATAAGTTGTAGAACAATACTCTGTGTCTCATACTTGGGCAATAAATATTGGAAATCATCAATATCAGGAAACAAGTTTGAATTGAAAATTTTCATCCTGTATTTCAATTAGAGGTGAATTTTCGAAAACGTCTCGAGATAATGGTCTGATATAAATAATGGATATCGAGAAGGCCGTTTCTGAATATACTGGATCGAATGGGCCATAGTTTTAGTCACCATTTTCGATTTTTTTTACTGAAATGAGATTTTGTTTTATTTTCTTATCATCCTGTATATTCCAAAAAAGTGCTTTTTTTGTTTTTCATTGTCCTCCACAAAACATGAGAATAGTTCTTTCCAATAGTCAGCTCAAGTAGAGTTATAGAGAAAAAAATCAAGAAATGCAAGACTTTCGAAAAAAAATCGAATTTTTGTTCCAATGGCCAATTGAGGAGAAATCACGAAAACGTCCCGAGATGAGGTCCCAGTGTATCATAATATGACTGACTTTTGATCAGAAAAAAATTTCTCGAGTTCTGGCAGCATTGGAAATGTAGACCATAGTGTAATGGTTCCACTTTACACCCTGTGTAGGTTCTCTTCTGCGGACTTTTTCATAGTGTTCTAGCTCTCTTTGGAGCCGATGGAATATCACATCTGATAACGAAAACCGCATGAAGATCGGTCAATTTTTTCAAGAAATACAGGTCTTCGAAATTGAGTGAAATTATGAGTGGTCCATTTAGTGTGTTGAGAACTGTATATATACAGAATACATCATCTTATTTATTTACAATGTATTTTTTATGATTGATGAAATCGTCAATGGAATAAAATCCCTGATCACTGAGAAATTGTCTCGTCTTTTGCTTGAGGCATTTCGGATTTGATAGAGACCTGATCTCGATGGGCAGACAGTTGAAAATTCTAGATCCTATGCTTCGACAAGGTAATTAAGCTGTGGATATATATGCAAGGAAGAGTCAGTATTTTGTTGTCCCTGAAATAAGGTTTACATGAATCTGTTCTCTTGAGGTTGAATATTAGCCAAATAATTCTTTTTTGTGCAACAAATACTCTACTTAGGTCACTACTGGCACCCCACAGAATTATGTTGTATCAAGCTAGTCGATGTGATTGCCCCAAGTTAGTCCTGGGTCTATATACTTACCAAGGAATTTTGTTACATCTGAAGGTGCTATGACTGGATCATTCACAGTAACATTCAAAGGTTTTTCGACGCATTTTTTTCCAAAAAATTGAATGAGAACATTCTTTTCAGAGTTGACAAGTAGTTTGTTATTTTTATACCAATTTGTGAACCTATTGGCAACCAAATTCAGCTCATCTTGGAGTTCCAAAAGGTTATCGGCTTCCTTTGCGATAGATGCATCGTCTTGCGAATCAGACTATGCATTCAGATTTTACGTGAAATGGTAGATCGTTTATGAATAATAGGAAGATCAGCGGACCTAGGACCGAGCCTTGTGGAACTCCAAGGACAACTCTGTACATATCTGATCTCTCTTCAGGCATGTTTACAAAAACCTTGCGGAATTTGAGATAAGATATTATCCATGATAACATATCTCCTCTGATGCCAACGGCATATAACTTGTCATAAATATACATTTCATTTATACAAAAAAGTTTCTTTTGTGTTCCGAAAATGAGATAATGAGTTTTCTCCCAACTTACCACTGGTGTATAGACATTCAAGTAAAGACAATCTTCTGTTTGAGTTTCTCTCCAATTAGGTACATGTAAGAAATTGATGTATTGGAAACATGTTTTCGTATTACTTGTCGCATTCAAAATACCATCCCACTTCTCTGGCGGAACGGGAGCCTATGGAATTAAAATTATATTTCTCACATTTCAAGTGGGTGGTACGAAGATCATTGGAAAGGGTCTAATTCCGTTATTTTTCATGTTTTTTGGAATTCTGGACAGTGATATAGAGTTCTTCGAAACAAATTTCTCCATGAAAAAACCGTTGAATTTCACTTCCGGTTTCACAGAAAACTGACATCAGTCAAGAATTTCAAATGGAACCCTGTATTTATTTATATTCCATTCAATAAAGCAAAAAATATCTTTGCAATGACATATCACAAGTATACATTTATTTCCAAGATGACGGCGCAGGAGACATTCATCAATATGGCGACACTGTGACGTCATCAAGATTCCTTCTATAAATTCTTTCAAATTACAGTATTTCTCTTGAATTTTTTCTAAAATTTAATACCAATCCCTAACAACACGGGATCTTGCTGGTACATCCCGCTAAGCTCCTACAAATGTCCCAATGTTTCAGACTTAGGTACGATATCCCAGAGATGTTTCTCTTCGGACATCCATCAGATGTTTTCATCGGATGTTCTAGAAACATCCCATTTGATCTTTTTTTATAAACAATATCATGGATCCATATCTGCTAATGATGATTGACATGATTGAACAGTTCAAACAATTGTGACATTTGAAACATTGAAAAGTTGATAAAAAATGGAAATCAAAACTGTATTCTTACATATATACTTATACCTATACCAAAGCCGGCTTATTTCATCGATAACAAATTGAAATAATTATACTAAATATTCCTCAATAAGATCACCAAGTAACGACAAAATCAAAATATATCTCTTCAGCATATTTATTGCTGTAATTATTTGCGATATACCAGCCGATAGATGGCGGTACAACTACGTTGCTAAGAGTTACTAACAGCCGTCGGCCCAGCGCCAACAAATATGAGCCTCAAACAACTGTTATCATCTTCCATTAGTTATTGGACCGCACCACCTTATATTTTCGGATTCGGATTGTTACTTGATATCTGGAAATAGGTCGGTCATTTTCAGAATTTCAGATTGAAAGTAATTCATACCGTGTCATCCATTTCTGTCATCAAACAAAAAACATCCTATATAAAAGTTTCTTTAAGATGTTCCATATCAAGTACCTACCCTGAATGTCTCTGGTACATCCCGTATCATCCCACCAACATTCTGATGGGATGTTTATAATACATCGCAAATGCTGACACGGGTATTGCCAGCAACATCCCAAGAATGTCCCAAGGAAAATAGGAATTTTCCAGAGATGTTCCTATCATCCCATATGGATGTTTCTACGACGTCTTACAGATGTTATTGTGTTATTAGGGATCAGATGCTTCATTTCGACATTGTTACTATGGTAACCAGCAAACTTTTCGGAATTTTTTCCATCCACATGAGCATGTAGACGTGGAAATTTTTTGGCCCATGAGGCATATTCGGTCCTATCGTCATATTTTGGTCCAAACAATCCGCCCTTAGTCTTTGCCCCAATAGTTATGACTCACCCTGTACATCAGATAGTTATATTTTAGAATCATTGCTTCATCCTGTCTCACCTCAAACCGTAGTTTTCCTATCGGTGGCATGGCATAAGGAATTTCTTGGAATGCGTAAAATCCTATATTTCTTGAAGAAACTACCTTACGTCCTCTCAATTTACCATCGGGTAACTCGACTAAAGTGCATGTATCTTCTTTCGTTTCATTTGAAAGTTGCTGTAAGAGAGTTCGATATAAGTTTTTATTTTGGTCGCATTATTTCATTGAATTCTACGAAAGCGCTGAACGGACATGATACTTTTTTTTTTTTATAATTGCCAGTTTGATCTGGCAATTAGCCATAATTGCCAGTTTGATCTGGCAATTAGCCATAATTGCCAGTTTGAACTGGCAATTAGCCATAATTTCCAGTTTGAACTGGCAATTAGCTATAATTGCCAGTTTGAACTGGCATTTAGCGCTTCCGGACGAAAGAATCTAGTCATGTTATCGCCATCTAGTGAAAGGGCGAGTGGACTGAGGACGGAATGATAGTGATTTTCCCCGAGAATGAAATTTGCAGCCTGAGTCGTAGGTGAATAATGCTGCAATCATTCGAGTGGGAAATTAGCATTCCCTGCGAGTTATACACCATAATTTTTCTACGGTTGTGACTGATAACAGCGACATTTTTTATTTCTTCGTCTTGTAGCCATCTGATTTCCTCTCAAGTAATGCGCATCTATTAGACAGAGCTGTCATGGCTTGAACTGTGACATTACATTTGCGGGGGTACTTTCGTACGAAAGCACTAAATGCCAGTTCAAACTGGCAATTATGGCTAAATGCCAGTTCAAACTGGCAATTATGGCTAATTGCCAGTTCAAACTGGCAATTATAGCTAATTGCCAGATCAAACTGGCAATTATAGCTAATTGCCAGATCAAACTGGCAATTATGGCCAAATGCCAGTTTAAAATGGCAATTATGGCTAATTGCCAGTTCGACCTGGCAATTATAGCTAATTGCCAGATCAAACTGGCAATTATTGCTAAATGCCAGATTAAACTGGCAATCATGGCTAATTGCCAGATCAAACTGGCAATTATGGCTAAATGCCAGTTCAAACTGGCAATTATAAGAAAAAAAGTATCATGTCCGTTCAGCGCTTTCGTAGAATTCGACTTGATATTGTTAAAATATTAAGTTCAGCGGAGTAAAGACACGCCCGATAGATGCATACGAAGTTTTTCGAGTTCTCTGAAGTTATCAAGTGTATTCGCAAGCCCTTCGATTGCTTCTCGTCATTTAGCAAATTCTACGGTAGGAATGTAATCAGTACTATCAGTAGTAATACTATGAGTACTCCATCATATTCGAGTTATGAGTTGCGTGGAAGATCTGTCAAATGACCGACCAAGGAGGTAAAACCCATATACGTATTAATAAACAATACGGATCATAACGGGTGCAAGGATGAAGCCAAAAATATGAAACAAATGAATATCCATAAGGATTTGGTGGCATGATACGCATGCGCCATGCGCTATTATAGTAGTCATCAAAGACATGCGTTTCGGTGGACAATGACGTTTACTAGCCTTTCAATCAAAGCAGTATGTGTCTGATCGTTTCAAAACTTTTCCTTATGGATAGTCATTTGTCTTCAAAAATCGGCTTTATGTTTCGCTATGGAAACTGATAGAGATTATCCGTATTGATTATTAATACGTATATGGTAAAACCTTGACCTCACTTTTCTTATTTGTTCACAAAGGATTGAAATAGTTTTTTACAATCATTTTGACATACGAATCGTATTTTACGGCTATTCATAAACTCATAATTTAAGCATGCCACCACATTGTGCTGCTGTACAATGACTACAATGCACAAAATATGAAGCGAGATAGGTACATTGTGATCAAAAACTACTATAGTCACACACATATAGATTTCATTTTGAAATTTCGTAATTTTTCATCAGAATTCCGTCTGCAATAGGAGATAATAGTAATACTAGTGAAGTTCATAAAAAAAGGAAAGAAAAGATTTGTTTCATGCAATCAAACGGGTGTACTGGTCTGACATGCAGACATGCTAACGCTGGCGAAATATGATGTGTGTTGTAGACATTTTCACAGTATTAGCTTCTATTGCAGAAGTGGCAGAAGGAATTCTAATGAGAAATGACAATAGGAAAACTATGTGAGATCAATATTTACCTGAAAAATCATATTCCTTCGTCTCTCGCTGCATTTTTTGTGCATTGTACAACAGTACAATGTGATGGCATGCTTGAATTTATGAATTTCCCGAAAAACACGATTCATATGTCAGAATTTTGTGGAGATCTATTTCAATCCTTTGATTCCTTTGTAAACAAATAAGAAAAGTGAGGTTGTGTTCACTGTTTTACAGAAAATTGGGGTTGTGTTTCAATGTTTTACCTCCAGGGTCGATCATCTTGCACGTGACTCATATAGATCGCGTGCAAGAACTGTCAGATGACCGACCCTGGAGGCAAAACATATTTGTTTACAAGTGATCGAAATAGTTTTCCACAATTATTTTGGCATATGAATCGTATTTTTCCGCTATTCATCAATTCGCTAATGCCATCACATTGTGCTGTTGTAAAATGCACAAAAACTGCAGCGGAAGATGAAGAAATCCGGATGGTACATTATGATTCAAAAGTAAGTACCTACTATAGTCACTCACATAGTTTTCATTTTTGAATTTTGGTTATTTCTATGATTTCTCATCGGAATTCCTACTGCAATAGGATCAGCTAATAGTAATATACCTCAAATTTCTAGAATAATGCAAGAAGATTGGATTCATGCAATCAATCGGTAGGACTGGTTTGACATGCTGACGATCGTGTGTGTTGTAGACATTTTCAATCTATTAGCAGCATTAGCTTGTATTGCAGAAGTGGCAGAAGGCAGAAGGAATTTTGATAAGGAATGACAAAATTTCATGATGCTAACTATGTGAGATTACTATTTACCTGAAAAATCATATTCCCTAGTCTCTTGCTGCATTTTTTGTGCATTGTACAACAGCACAATGCGAAGGCATGCTTGAATTGATGAATAACGCAAGAAACACGATTCGTATGCCAAAATATTGTGAAAAACTATTTCAACCTTTCGATTCCTCTGTAACCAAATAAAAAAGTGAGGTTGTGTTCCAATAATTCACAGAAGAATGAGGTTGTGTTTCAATATTTTGCCTCCAGGGTCGGTCTTCGTGCACGCGACCTATACATCAATAACTTGTCGCATCATTACAGAGTCAGAGTCAGTTTGACAGTTGAAATAATCCGACCGCGAAGCGATTTGTATTTGTGCTAGAAGGTTGGGATGTATAACCTCGATATTTAGAAGTTCACCTCTGTTCATATTTTAGTGCAGAGGGCATAATCACGCGGAGTTGATTTGTTCTCGTTTTTTGTTGAATTTTAGGAAAACATCTCTCGTTGAATAGAAGAATTAGAAAAATCTGGTATCATGGAATCATTCGTTAGGCTGTATTATATCGATAAGCTGAACAACAACCCTTGATGGTTACGTAAAGTAGTGGGTACATTAATTTTCAGCTAAACTATCCAATCCTTAGGAATCGTCTGAAACAGGTCGATTTCTATTCACAATTTATCATTTTCATGAAAATAATCAAATGGAACACCCTAATCAAAATTCAATTCTTAGATTCTTCATGGATATGAATTCAAGAATATATCTCACAGGGTTCGTGTACAGTGCGACACTTGAAAAAATTCCGATGAAGTAGTTCCTCATACACGAATCATTCTGTGTCAATCAATTGAATTTGAGAGGATGCTCGGATGTGAATAAAGTTCGAGTTTTTTTCCAGAAATTATTATTCCTTCAATTTTTACCAAAAAACGAATCCATTATACTTTATGAGAACACTTGATTCAACATTTTTGCTTTCAATGAAGATTTCGAAAATTCAATATTATATAGGGTGTTTTTTTCTAATTTGTCGCAGACGTCGATACTCAGACGTGATGTTAATATAGCAAATTGAAAATTAATATCGACCTGTCTCAGGAGATTTCATAGAAATAGAGAGTTTTGCTGAGAAATAATGTATTCAATACTTCACGAAAGCATGCACTGTATGTAAACTGTAGAAACCTGTAATGGAATTGGATCAGTTTGTCCATAAAATTCGAAAAACCATGGACAGGTTGATTTTCATTCTTGAAGATTTAACTGTTCTATTTTACACTATTGCACTAGTGTGGAAAAGTGACAAAGCAGTGGAAAACCGATAACTGATTTCATCGTGAAACATTTTAGCCTTCGCAATTCATTTGCAGAATTCTACAAATTGCACGTTCAATATCAATATCAATGATAAATAATTTGTTGATCGAATATGTATTCAATAATGAATGTTCATTCATGATAGCTTTCGGGTTTTTCCTCATTTGTTAGGTAAACTCGAGGGTAAACTACTATATTATTATATACGAATCCGATATCAACTCACCTGATTATCTTTTTCATATGTGGTATCAGTTTTGTTTCCACTGATATATCCCTGTTTCAGGATAAGAACTAAGATGACTATTATGACGATTCCAAGTGTGAGATTGTAAAGTGTGGGTTCTCTTAGGATTCTGCAAATTTTGGAATCAGACATCACAAAGACTTTCTAGAGAACTGTTGTCGCGTTGTAACTATTTTTTCTCCTCTGATAATGAGCAGTGAGTTCCTTTGAATAGGTCTCCTGTTATTACTATTACTATTGCTTAAATGAACTATCTAGCTGATGGGAATTCACAAATTATTTCCAAATTTGGGCATAGGAATCACATAATTATCATTCTTTCAGTTCTAATGAGTTCATTATTGTTTGTCGTATGGATCGCGGAATATAATAAGCCACCTTGGCATCCATATTGGAAATTCCAGCGTTATCGACAAACATTACACAATCCCAGAAATATCCTTTTGACTTAAAGAATATTTCAACACCAACCTACCACCACGTCTCATCCTCCCTAGCACTGTGTTTTTCGAACATTATATAGCTAATACATTCAATGAGTGACATCTGTTCTGAGGAACAATCTATCTTTGAGCATACGTAGGGCAATGTATTTTCGAAATGAGGAGTGAGAAATGGTTTCAATGATGGAGATGGAAAGCCCTAATTTCGAGTGACAATGGAAAATGAAAAAACTCGACCGCCCCGCGTGAGAGTCGAACTCACAACCTCTGCGTTACATGCCCAACGCTCTGCCAATTGAGCTAACGGGACATCCGTCGATCAATCGGCAGGGAGGTCGAGTGCTCATCACACACCAGGCGGCAGAATCCTTCCAATTTCCGAAGTCACTTTCCGATGGCGGACAAGTTTTGTAATTAGGATCCGATTTCATTAAAAATTCATTTGGGGGTTTTTAGAGTCGGTGATTATTAATTCTTTCAAGAATCGATTAGAATTGAAGCAGTTCAAGCCGTGTCCAGAAACCTTCTCTCGACAAATCATCAGGATTGACTATGACTATTATGATTATTATTATATCTGTATCGAGGAGTAATCACCATCAACACCCTCCTTATTGATAGTGGAAAAATAATACTATTTATGTGGTTTTGGTCGAAGTTGTATTGTACAAGGAGGTCATAATAAATAAACATCACTTAGAAATGACAGCTTCCACAAGTGATATTAACTCGAAATCATCAGAACGTCAACATTGGCTTCGTCGTCATCTCCTCGTATATTTTCACCCAGCCTTTATAGGTCTCATCTCTGAGATTGTTCTGAATTGTGATCGTCTCGTTGATATCCAGAAATTGAAAATTATCTGGTCGCACTTTTGGCCAGATTACGTTATTCAATAGGGAAGATTTCATGGGTGTAGGATTCCTGAAACAATAATATGATCAATTTACTCCAATGTAATAAGATACCTTATCGTTTCAAAATTACTTTTCCACTCTTGATTTCGAGAACCAATCAGAATCGACCATTTTCACGGTTTCTTCTGTATTCTAGCGATATTTTTTGTTTATTAAATTTTATCGGACTTTCTCTAACAATACAGAAGTCGAATTGACCCACACGTGACCAGCAAACCTCGTTTATCAGCGATAAAATTTTGACATCGTGTCTGGTCAAGTTTGCTTTGGATTCGAATCTGAGACAATAACCTTAGTACATACTTCATTTTATTTACCTATAATTCGCGTTAGTGAGACATTTTGTACGAAATGCGAGACAATTTCATTCTGGCTGGACGTTTCATGTGTAATTTAATAAGTTTGCATATTTGTTGACGGTCTGACACATGCCTGACAACAACAATACTAGAATTCGAATTCATTTTTAAAGTAATCTTCTTCAATCACTCAAGTTATTGTGACTAATATAATTACCAGATGATGTGGCGCAACTGATAGGTTAGTCTGCGAGTATTAAAATACGAATTCAAAAGTTGAAATTTGAAATATAGGTATACCAATCCTATGTTTTTTTGAATGTTTTCTAGTCAAAATTACGTGGAGTAGTGAATAAAATGTTTCTGAACATCAAATGATGCAGCACGGCACTGCTTCAATGAAACATATGACCTTGAATTGATTTCGTTCATTTTTTTGAAGTTGTGACATATGCGCAGAGAAATATTAGACATACTGTAGTGATATATTGAAGTTTCAGTGCACTAAATACTTTGAGGAAGATATGCTTACAAATATTTCACGAAATTTGTGATCAGTGTCCTGTACCGATCACTTGCCAATATATCAATTAGTGAGCCTTTCTCTACAACATCAACTCCAGTGAAGCGCCACATAAAAACGTTGTCATCGCCATGGCCGACTTTATAGGTCCCTATAAATAAAGAAAAAGATTGCTGTTCTTCATTCAGTCACAGTTAGAAGGTATAATTGGAATATGGGAATGGAATAATCTCATTATTTCCAAAACCAAATATATCTTAGAAAATTTCTCGGACAGTTCAATTTTGATTTGATTGAAATCTACAAGAGTCTCCAACCCATTCATTCGTTTCTGTTTGAGCAGAAATACTATTAAAACTTCAATGTATACATAAATTTTGATTGCCAATAAAGTTATATATAACAACAAATATTGTCTACACAAATCATTGAGATTTCTGGTAGAGATTCTAATTCATACAAGTGAGTGGTAATTTTTGTCGGTTATTCGACCGAGAAGATACATATAATAATGAAGATGATGGAAAGCCCTCATTTTGAGTGACAACGGAAAATGAGAAAACTCCAACGCCCCGCGTGAGAGTCGAACTTACACCCTCTGGGTTACAACAAGAGTCTCGAGATCATACCCGTGTGTTCACCGAACACGCTCGATCGTTACCTAAGCGGTGGGGAGACCGAGACGTAAGCAGGCAGTCATGATACTATTACAATGAGTGGGCAGGCAGCTTCTCTCATGATGTCTTTGTTTTTGTAGTACGGGGTGGGCCACCAACAGTTTTCTTGATCACATTTCAACATTTTTTTTTTCGAATAAATAAGAAACATTTGATAGGCATCAAGTGATCTACTGCGACCTATCAGATAATGAAAGCGATGATTTGATTTGCAAAAATTCGCTATGTCCGAGGCTATGCCACGACAAGTCCTACATGTAAATAGCGAACCACTCATCGAAAATCATGAAACTATATGTACATATTATATGCTTATGTTTTGTTGGCGAGGACGCTCGTTTTCGTAGTAGCAGCTTTGTTATTCAAAATGGAACACCTTATATTTTATTACATTTTTCGATTCTTCTAATTGAGCTATGATTTCGTTGATCAAGCTCAAGGTATACCTATACGTAGAATGTGAAAAATCGAGATTTTTTTGTACCGAAACTATACAATACCTATATTGATTTGTCAAAATGGCTTACATGTGTCCCTATCCTAACATTCTATTCACTATCTACTGATGCCATTTAATTGAAACAAATACAGGGTGGATCAGATTTCAGAATTATATAAAAGAAGTACTAGAGTATGCCTACTAAAAAAATATATATATATTTGAAATAAACAAAACAAATATATCACATAAAAAAACACACTCTAATATTCAACATAAAATAAAATTCAATCCCACTGGATGTATTTAAAAATATAAACAGTGTGCATGTCACTTCTATAATGGAATATCAACCCGCGTATATCTAACGTAACTGTTCAATTTTAAGAAGCGATAGATATATATACCAACTATATGACCAAAGTGAGGTAATCTTCAGTGAAAAACACTGCTCTGGTCATGGACCCACCAACATTTCCGGAAAATGATATTAGGAGGCGAGATAGGTAGGTTGAAAATCACTTCGGATTCGAAATCAGGACGTAACCCTGTACCTCGAAAACGAAGCAAGTTTAGGACACATGTTTACATGACCTTTATTCATCATATTATATCACAAAGAATCATCCCTTGAATTATTTCGGTGTTATTTAGATACACCCTGTATAGATCATTCTTCATCCCAATATAGTTATTCAACATTTTTCCCATAGCGAAGTTCAGCGAATACCGATGGCGAGAGCACTATGTTTATTGATTTGATGTCTACCTATAATATATGTAAAACAAGAAGGCACAACTACTAGTGTTCCGTTTCGAAGTACATTAAATTGACAAATTTGACTCCAAAATAATTCAGGCACGCGCCAATATTCATAACGTAGTTACTGCTGCCCGTTTACGTTTCCCTACCGCTTAGGGAACGATTGGGCGTGTTCGGTGAACACACGGGTATGATCTCGAGACTCTTGTGAACTTACAACCTCTGGGTTACATGCCCAACGCTCTGCCATTTGAGCTAACGGGACATCCGTCGATCAATCGGCAGGAAGGTCAAGTTCTCATCACACCCTAGGCGACAGAATCCCTCCAAATCTCAAAGTCGCTCGAAATCATACACTATATGAAGCATCGTTGGCAGGATTTGGCAGGATGGTCCTATACAGTCTCCATTTTTTCCAGTTCGCCCTCTGGCATTGTCCTCCCTTCAATACGAAAATGTCCGCAAGCAATCTATACATAGAAGTGAGTGATAATTTTTGTCGGTTACTCGATCGAAAAGGCAGAGCATTGGGCATGTAAGCCAGAGGTTGTGAGTTCGACTCTCGCGCAGGGCAGTGGAGTTTTTTCATTTTCCGTTGTCACTCAAAATTAGCGCATTCCGTCATCTTCATTATTATATTTTAATTCATAACATTCATTCTCGAGTAACTTATATAACATTTAGAATGGAACCATTTTAGAATGACGTTATTGATCTTTTCTACTCTAGATGTTGAAACTCTAGTATAATTTGTGTTATAAATTCGAAATACTACCAGAAACATCTATGATCTCTAACACTTGTGTTGACAATGTGAACGCTTCTCGGAATGATTGGAAACTGAGAACCTCCATAGATAATAGAAAGGTACCTTTCAGGCATTGTACGTACCTTCAAAATCTGGTTTGATTTCATTGAATGCTGGTGAACCATAAGAGAATCGATAAAAATAGACGTCACTATAATTGGATTGTAATTCAGCATGACGAATGATAGCACGAGTGAAAGTAGTATCAGAAAAATACTGAAAAAAAATTCTCCATGAAAATGTTCCTGGAAATGATTTTTTATGAAGTAGAATTTCCGGAAATTCACCTTTTTCAATGTACCTGAAAGACTATAAATAAATAATTTGAAATTGTTCGAAGGATGATGTTTTCAATGCGTAATCCTTGTATCTTTTTACCGAATTCTCATCTGCTACCGTTTCCGAACTCACCATGCTGTGCAACCTTATATCTTGGTCATACTGTAATACTGTCATACTGTCATCAACGCATAGAACAACGTGGTATTTTGGGTTAAAAATGTTCGGAAACATCGAGATTCACTTCCTGATTCTGAAAGGATAGTTGCGGCTCGATTTGGGTGAAATATTCGCGAAACTATCCTTTAATAACGTGAAAATGTACTTGGCCTCATTCGTGTTCGGCCGGTAACCTCTGATAGTGATTCTCAAAACTTGCTGCGAAACTTAAGATTTCAATAGGTATCTTCCAAATAATTTTATTTCGACAAAATATCATTCTTTCATTTCGTTTTGTTTTTTCGTTTCCTGTTACCCATTTCATTTGTTGCCCCAATTTATAAGTAGATAGATTGATATTTTTCAAGACTTGACGCTTATAGGATGGTTCTCGACCAGAACACCGAAATGTTAACTTTGAGGGTGGTAAAGTCGTGTAAAAGCTTATAACATGCATGGCTGGAGTTCTTGAAGTTGAATGAACGATTTGATTTCCTGAAATTCTCAAATTGAAAGATATCAAAATTGGAAGTATAAAAATTCAGAGAGCCAGGAATGCCAGGATACAATACCTATTTGCATATTTCCACAAAAGTAGTTGACTATCACGTTGATATATTGTTGTCGTTTGAAACATTCATTTATGTGGATTTTTCAATGACAATAAGTAGTAAATAGCTTATTTCCTGTAATGTTTGTTATCCTCGGAATAATTTCTATAGAAAATAACTCACGTGTATGTATAGATGATAAGTAAGTAAGTAAGTAAGTACATTTATTTCCAATATACACAGAACAGGTGTACATTTAGCCATTGGCATAAGGAAAGATTAGTGTCATTTAACAAAATTATTTGATAATGAAAAGAAGTCTAAGCTTTATACATTTGAAAACTGCAGCATGATTACTACTACTGCTGAATATTGTTTTTTTTTTTTTTTTTTTTTTTTTTAACATGATATCATATTACTTAAAACTACTTAAAAACTAGAGGATGGACATTCTTTTTATGACTGCGGGAGCGGTATTGCGAAAAATTAATTTAAATCATAACATACATGGTGGTACAATAAATCCTTCAGTGAGTGTTTGAATTTTCTTATTGATAGTTCCTTCATGTAAGGGGGCAAATGGTTTTAAATTTTTATTCCCGTGTACAGGGGTCCATTACGAGTTTTTTCATACCTGTAGTTGGGCAATTTTATTTTATGGGTTCTTGTCATGTACTGATGACGATGATCTGAATGTTGAAGAACATCACGTTTTTTATGGATCAGAAGGGCAAGTTTGAATATGAATGTGTTTGTCAAAGTAAATATCTTATTTTCAAGGAAACACTCTCTACAAGATTCTCGATAGTTCAATTTGAACAAAGTACGGATGGCTCGTTTTTGAATTATAAACGTGGTTTGGGAACCCACAAAATTACCCCAGAATTCTATTCCGTATTGCATCAGGCTGTGAAAATATGCGAAATATACCATTTTCGAGACTTGAAAGTTTGTGTTCGCTTGGACAGTTCGCAATGCAAAAGTTGCTCTGTTCAGTTTGGTATTCAGCTGCTTTATGTGTTCCATCCAATTTAGTTTCATATCAATAGTGATCCCTAGAAATTTAGTTGATTTGTTCGAAGAGATATTGCTTCATCGTTCAGAGTTACCTCAACATCTTGGAAATTTCTATAAGGGTTAATCAATATGTATGGAAGAACGTACTGAATTCGAGAGTTGTCATATCATAATCAAAATATGCCACACTATTTTCAATGAAATAGGTACCTACATCAATAAAATATTGATTCCTAATCACTCCAGGAGAAATAGGTATAGAAAAATGATTCATTGATAATATACCTTACATGGCAATCTGATGTTCTAAATTATACTCAATCATGATGAATGCAGAAAATCAAACATAATATTCGGTTTTATAAATTATAGGTCAGCAATAGTTATTTTTGTATACAGGGTGATTCACATAACATCCGACATAGAGCTGGGGCATGTAGGGGGCCCCAAAATATGGCAATTTAACGCAACTTACCTCTATACCAAATTGCTTTCCCAAGGAGTTATAGGCTTTGAAAGTGAAGTTATAAATTTTGAAAAAAATCAATATCTCCGTTATTCTTGAACTTAATGCAACCAAATTTGGTACACTTTGTGGATGTATTTAGGGCGTTCCTTGACAGTAACTAGAGTTCAATTGAAATTTGTAAAGGGGGTATATGGGGTGGCGCACCATTAATATTCAACAGAACTTTGTTAACCTCTGATGGATTTCAAAAATCTTTGCTTCGTTTTGTGGGCAATTCAATTCTAAAACTTTTCTTATTCTAGTAATTTTCCGAAAAACTTCATCATTTTCATCAAAAACTCGAATAACTGAAAACGCGCGCTCTAGGTGTGTTTTTTAAAATCATCGAAAATTCAAAAGTTGGCTATGAAATTAAACGTCAAACTTGATAATGAAGCAAGTAAAATGTTCAATTTTTTTTTTTTTTTTTTTTTTTTTATCGATTGGAGCGCACGAAAGGGAATCCCTATAATGTTCAGAGAACATCGTGCGTTCCTAGGGAGGATAGGGAGAGGAGGTAGGTATTGGAATTTTTTTTGAATTTTTGGAGATTGTATGTTGTTGGGAATACTTCCACAGTCAATGAATTCCAGAGCCTAGCCGTTCTATGGATGAAGGAGTCTTGATAAAGTGCTGTTCGACATCTTTCGAGGTTGACAACGAAAGGATGTGCTGACTGGGCTTGTCTAGTTCGTCTGATTGGTATTGCTAGTGAAGGGATGATTGCAGAGATTTCCGAAGAACATTTCCCGTGGAAGTATCGATAGAAAAGTGATTGTTGTTTAAGTGTTTTCAAAATGAACGGGAAGTTTTCTTTTTACGAGCAAGTTGACATGCTGTTAGTGCTACATTGGTATATGCAAGATGGAGCACAGCCTCATTTCAGTATGAACGTAAGAAATTTTTTAAACCACCAGTATCCCAATAGATGGATAGGAAGAGGAAATAATTGCCCATAATGTTGGCCCCCAAGACCACCTGACCTGAACAAATGTGACTTCTTTCTGTGGGGAACGTTGAAAGAATTTGTGTATTCTTCGCCCGTTGGTTCTCAAGAAGAATTATGGAATCGCATTATTCATAAATGCACATCTATTAGGAATAATCAAGAGTTATTAGATAGGGTGGATTTTAATTTTCGAAGAAGAATAAATTTATGCGTAAGAGAAAACGGCGATCATTTTGAACAATTTCTTCAATTCATCGATGAAAAATTTGTTTGTTCTGGTTGTTGTTTGAGTTTTTTGTGTTTATTTTGGTTAGTTGTTAATCCCAGTTTTTCACATTTCAGTATCTGTACTTACTTTACATATTTTGTTACGTATCTGAATAATAATTAGCCAGCCAATTTCTACCGATCACTTTGAATGACCTACATTCTTGTTAGACGTTTATTTTCATAGCCAACTTTTGAATTTTCGATGATTTTAAATAACACACCTACAGCGCGCGTTTTCAGTTATTCGAGTTTTTGATGAAAATGATGAGGTTTTTCAAAAAATTACTAGAGTAAGAAAAGTTTTAGAATTGAATTGCCCACGAAATAAAGCAAAGATTTTTAAGATCCATCAAGGGTTAACAAAATTCTGTTGATTATTAATGGTGCGCCACCCGGTATACCCCCTTTCCAAATTTCAATTGAACTCTAGTTACTGTCAAGTAACGCCTCAAATACATCCACAAGGTGTATCAAATTTGGTTGCTTTAAGTTCGAGAATAACGGAGATATCGATTTTTTTCAAAATTTATAACTTCACTTTCAAAGCCTATAACTCCTTAGGAAAGCAACTTGGTATAGAGGTAAGTTGCGTTAGATTGCCATATTTTGGGACCCCCTACATGCCCCTGCTCTATGTCGGTTCTTATGTGAATCACCCTGTATAGTGCACGAAATGCTGCACGACTATTCATTTCAAGAGATCAGATATCGATTACCAGAGTATTTCGCGCAAAAATCATTGTTCTAAAATAAGTAATATGTTAAGCTTGACATAGAAAATGGTATTGAACTGGCTTGAAATGAACTGGCTTGAAAATGCCTTGACAATCATTAAACATTTCGAAATAAATGATTTCTTGGATTCCTGCTATAGATTGATAACCATTAAGGTTAAACATAAACCTCATGTAGTTTACGTACAGTGCACGAAATATGTATTTCGCACACTATTCCGCGCACAGTGTCGTGGTAACGTATAGGGAAATAAAGAAAAGGGTCACTTCGCATATTTTTACATTTAGTATGTTTTTGAAAGAACAGTGGTTCATGTGGTGCTAATCAAACAACATTGGGACATTTTGAGGAGGTTGAATATTGTGATACGAGGCGTAGACGAGGATTATAACTACCGAACCCGTAATTTGCGTATATTGGCATGATGGTGTATGTGTCGTTCGAGACTTTTCGTATCCTCTTGGTAATCCTGCTGAAATATTACATTTTGATTCTGAGGAAAAAACAAACCACGTACCTCGTAATTCTACAGAAAAATCCCAACATCGTGTTGTCATGGAACAGCATAACAATATCACAATAATATTATAACGACCGCGGGCCGTTAAACAATCTTAAGACAGAGGCTGTGAATATTACCTTTCAAATTGTCATCTGAATATCGTTAACCCATTAGCGCGGGAATTTTTTTTTTTTCTGAAATTGTATGGGCATCAACTAGTGTGGAATGCTTTCGAAAGATGAGAAAAGTTTAAAGAATCATAAATGGAATTCAGGTTTTCCAAAACTCTGCTGTTGCCATATGGCAACACTAGGGGCTTGTGATACATGTTTTGGAATATTAACACAAATACCTCCATCACATTTTGAACACAGTCTTTGTCAAAATTCAGCTATTTTGCATGGCTTTGTCTAATACCGAAGTGACTAGGGGCCAGTACGAATTCCTATACGTGGTAATAACTAATATTTTGATCCATCTGATCAGTTTCGCCCATATACAAATAGTACCACTCGATAACTTTCAAAAATAACGCATACCACCTGGTTTCTTCTGACAAGTGCTGAGTAACTTCGTCGTTTCTCGCTCAGTCATCTAATTATTTGACCCACTGGAAGTATTAGCAGAATTCCGAAGAGAAGATTGTCCGGCCAATGGTTTAACATCCATTGGCTCGGCCGGAGATTCACCATATTCGCTGAGTATAAGCGCCTAGCGTTGCCAGATGGCAACACGAATATTTGATGCAAAATTTCTACACAAAAAACAATCCTGCAATTTTTTCAATCAGTCACATATATAACTTGAAGCATGTGCAACATAATTATGATAACAAATGTCGCAAAATGAAATGCGTGAAAACAGGATGATACTTCCATGTTTTACGACAGTTCAAATAAGCTCGAAATTTCACAAATTCACGTGGCCGAAACAGCTTACTCACAACAAAGAAGTGGCGGCATGTGCTTGACCGGTTCTTTCGCGAATCATGTGGGCTGTCTCTCACCCTAATAGCTAAATATTTGACTGCCAGAGAATTATTTGAATCTCTATTTGCCTAGCGTTGCCATATGGCAACGCACGGCGCTAATAGTTTAAATCAGAATAACAGTAAGGGGTTACGATAAGAAGAATATTTGTACCTTAACAGTTTTACCCAAATCATTAGCAAACGGTCCAGGAGGGTATAGATTGCGAATAGCTTCGCCAATTCGTTTCTTCTCAGTTTCGTCAACTATATTCATATTATCAAGAACCATACTCGCAGGATCCTCGTCTAATGTTCTTGCAGCATCTTTCCATTTTTCAACTCTCTCTGATAATACTGATGTGGCACCTATTGAATTGAAAAAGTATCAATACATATACGGGACGATTTTGAGATACGAACAATAAGTATTGTATATGAATATGATCAAACAATCTGACGAATATTCTCAATATGATGTGTGAGAAACAAATACCTTTATCAGCACAACGTTCCATACTGTGGTTTCATACCAAACACTGTTTTAACTCAAACCAATTTTTCAACGCGTCATCTATTTCGCTAACCAGGGGAAAATCAAAACTCGATATCCTGTTCTAGAATGCTGCTTTTATACTAGGTGTGACGCACTTGATATTTGACCTATATTCTTAAAAAAAAAAAATATATAGTAGGCCGATTTCATTTTTTTTTTCTATTTGTTGGTAGGTAATGCATTTGTCTTTGAAAAAAAATAAAGAGGTGAACATTTTCTCAAAACCTCCTTAATGGTGGTGGAATAACTCGAACCATGATTTATTCTTGATTTTTGACTCACCCTGTGTGTTAATTGAGTAATGGAATAGAAAGTGCTTGCACCCAATTTGAAAGAGGCTTCTTTTGCGAGCATTTTGTTTCTTTATTCATTGATTTATCTCTAAAATTTCCCGAATTACAGCTTTTTTGCTGAATCCTTGCAGATTACCAACTTTCTGAATTTATCGAGAAACAATTAAAAAAACAAAAAATAGGCCGATTTTAATTTTTTTCTATTTGTTGGTAGGTAATGCATTTGTCTTTGAAAAAAAATAAAGAGGTGAACATTTTCTCAAAGCCTCCTTAATGGTGGTGGAATAACTCGAACCATGATTTATTCTTAATTTTTGACTCACCCTGTGTTTTAATTGAGTAATGGAATAGAAAGTGCTTACACCCAATTTGAAAGAGGCTTCTTTTGCGAGCATAATGTTTCTTTATTCATTGATTTATCTCTAAAATTTTCTGAATTACAGCTTTTTTGCTGAATCCTTGCAGTACCAACTTTCTGAATTTATCGAGAAACAATTTTCTAATGAAATAAACTGATACCAATAATTTTAAAAAGCATTTTTATCAAACACAGAATTATGAATTGGGATGACTGCTCAATACCGTGTATTGCCTCCTCTAGCAACTCTAAGAACTTCTAATCTACGAGGCATACTGGAAATTAAGTTGCTTATCGTTTCCATTGGTATACGATCCCGTTTTTCCACTAATGCATCTGCCATTTCTGCGAGACTTTCCGGAGACCTCTCGCGAGAACGTACCCTTCTCCTTGATTCATCCCACAAATGTTCTATAGGATTCATATCGGGGCTTCTCGCAAGCCATTGTAATGTGGTAATACCAGTAGCTTCTAAGAAATTTCGCACTATTGCTGCGGTCGGGCATTATCCTGCATCATTATAAAATTATCGCCACTAACTCTGCATAAGGTGAGACATACTGCTCTAAAATGTCAATGTGAATTTGGGCTTTCATCGACTGCCTCACCGGGAAAACATGACGGGGTGTCTTTCCATTCATTGAAATTCCTCCCCACACCATAACGGACACACCATTGAAACTTTCGCATTCTGTTATTAAATTTTGATTATACCGTTCACCAGTTCTTCTCCACACTCTTTCTCTTCCATCCACCATGTTAAGGCAAAACCTTGACTCACCCGTAAACAAGACATTCGACCATTCAGGAATATTCTACTGTCCATAATTTTCAACAAAATTTCTTCTAGCAGCACGATGTTCGGGCAATAATTTGGGACCTTTTGCAGGTCTTCTAGCTTTTGAATTAACTTCTTTCAGACGTCTACATACCGTCTGCTTACTTACTGCAACATCACGAATTTGGCGAAGATCTTGCTGAACATTTACCGTAGTATTTGATCGATTCCGTAAAATCCGCAATCTCAAGAAGCGATCATCTCTTGGAGAAGTTTTTCGGGGGCGACCAGAACCGACCCTCCGAGCGGTGCTTCCTGTTTGTTCGTACTTGCGGATTGCTCTACGAGCAGTTGCTTCATGAACTTCCACTGCACGAGCGGCGTAACGTTTACTACGCCCATCATTTACTAACGCAACTAATTTTGCTACTTGTTCAGGATTTATTTGAGGCATTTTATGCAATTTCAGTCAATAAAACAAGACACTTAATTAATGACACAACGACAAATGGTCAAATATGGAGGCATACAACAAATTAGTTGCTATGGCAACGGCATTTGTTTTTTTAAAGACAATGTGATCCTACCAGAGTACAACCCAATCAATTTTGAGTACTCTGATCCTTCAATAAATTCAATGTGTGGGATAAGCAAAAAAGCTGTAATTCGGAAAATTTCAGAGATAAATCAATGAATAAAAAAACAAAATGCTCGCAAAAGAAGCCTCTTTCGTATAGGGTGCAAGCACTTTGTATATCATTACTCAATTAACACACAGGGTGAGTCAAAAATTAAGAATAAATCATGGTTCGAGTCATTCCACCACCATCAAAGATGCTTTGAAAAAATGTTCACCTCTTTATTTTTGTTTTTAAGACAAATGCATTACCTACCAACGAATAAAAAAAAAATCGGCCTACTATTTTTTGTTTTTTTTTTTTTTCAAGAAGATAGGTCAAATATCAAGTGCGTCATTTTTTTTGGAACTGAGTGTATAACATCTAATCGTGAAACATACTGAATAAATTCATTTTCAGCTAAACTAGCCATTTATGAGGAATCTCCTGAAACAGTTCGATTTTCATTTTCATTTTGCCACATTTTTAAAAAGAAATTGAATATACAGGGTGATCCACGTTCGAAGTATGACGTTCGCGACAATTTTATCAAAGAGATTACCCTATACAGAGTGTCCCATAAGTTATGGATCAAAAGAAGTGGGGTGGTAAGAGGGATCATTTTCAATGAAACGGACCATATTTGTGTTCATCCAATTGTTGATGGTTCGAAAGTGATTAATTTTGATTCATTTCTATAAAAAATATTCTTCACAATACAACTGTCACATTGGTGATTTTTTCTTTCACGAATTTTATCCACATGGATGCACTCTTTCCTATAGGAGTTATATCATAATATAAATAAGAATGTGTTACTTCTTATCAATTATCTGAGAGAAATGTTGTTTTACTTAAGATTCCTCATTGAATGAAATATTTGAGATGTGGTTTAAATGCTGCTGGTAGATTCGAAAACTACTCCACAAAGATAACAATTATAAAAAGAAGTTGCCCATTCAATACAGATTTCAAAACATATAAAGTTGATCAGAACAGCTTTTTTGTTATATTTTTTCTCAAATCGGTCGCGTCTTTCAGAAAAACAAATAACTTTTGAACTATCAACAATTTGATCACCACATATACCAACCGTTAGTTTCATTGCAAATGACTTCTACTAACACCTCACTTCTTTCGATCCCTGTATATAATCACAATTTTGGAATCTCCATGGAAAGCTGAATTCAAGAATATATCACACAAAGGGTTTCTATACAGTGCGTCCGTTAAATTAAGTGCTTCCCTAAAGTACTGAATAAATCCATTTCTGAGGCATCTTCCTGAAACATGTCGATTTCACTGTTCAATTTGCAATATTCATTAGGAAAAATAAGAATACAGAGTGATCAACCTTTGAGTTGTGACGTCAAATGGAACACCATATGTATATTGAATTTTATCAATATATCCATGGAATGCTGAATTCAGAACTATATTACACATAAGGTTTGTATACAGTGCGTCCATTATATTCATTGCCATCGTGAAATGGTCCTCTCCCTAATAGCACACAACGTTCTAGGGACGTCCCTATTTGGTACAATTAAAGTCCGAATGTCCCGGAACAAAAGTAAGTGTCCTTAGGACGTCCCATCCCATACATCGCATGCAATGTCCGAGCAAGGACGTCCACGGAATGTCCCAGCAGGTACATCATTTCAAATATCCTAGAAATAGCAACCCTTAGACGTCCCACGTGGTACATATTGTAGAATGTCCATGCAAGGACGTCCTTGGCATGTCCCTGATGGGATATGATTTTAAACGTTCCTTCAGGGACATCCATCGGATGTCCCAAGCAGTACATATTCTGGCATGACTTCAGATCTTATATAATGTCCCTTCTAGACAACTACGAAATGTCCCTGATAGTACATTCTACTACTTATTTACTGGTACTTTGAATACCTCTGCACAGACGCTCTTAATATTTCCAGGATCGTATAACAATCGAAATGTCCCTTAGGGAAATCCTTCGAATGTCCTTTAGGGATATCCGTCGAATGTCCCAATTGGTACATGAACTGTACTCTTCCAATGTCCTAGAAATAATGTCCTAAGGACGTCCCAGTCGGTACTTTCAATATGTTGTCCCTGCGAGGACGTTATCTCACACCCCGCCGACGAATGATTGCTCGTAGGGTATAAATACTCAATGTCCTTCACGTAAGTCCATTGGACATCCTTGGGAAACTTCTTCAGGATCTATTGGGGACCTTCTACGGACCATCAACTCAACTGGATGTCCTCATCCATTATGCAAGATCTGGTCCTAGAGGGACCCAGAAAAATTCGAATTTAAGAATAATTCGTACGTCCCTGGGACATCCTATGGACATCCAATTGATATCCCTCAGCGTTGCTGATATGTTGTCCTACGGATGTCCTCCGTAGTGCTTGATGAGGAATAGTGTAGGATTTAGGTATTCGATAGTTGTCCCAGGGACACATCCCTCAAGGACGTCCGTAGTTGGCCCTCAAGTGGGACATTTGTGCGTCCCACAGACGTCCACTGGACGTCCACGGTACCAAATTTGAATGTCCTATGGACGTCCTGAAGGTCCCGACAGGACGTCCTAAGGATATCCATGGGACATATTTGTGTTATTAGGGCTATGACAGACATTGCTGATAGATCGGTTAGTGTATTTCACGGTTATAAGCAGCATTGTATAATAGGATACTTTTAGTTAGTCTTCCCCTGAATATGCTAACAAAGCTAGCGAAACGCATGTCGAGGCGTTAAAAAATCGGTTTTATAATATTGGTGAAACAGTGAACTGTGATTATCGTGTCAATGATTCCAGTCTTCAATATACAGGGTGAGTCATGAGGAACTGTACATACTCCGACCACGAATAAAGGCCCTTGAAGGGAATACCTAATGTCCATCAAAAAGTGTCTTCTTCTCGTCTTCACCAATATATAGGGTTGATTATGAGATTTGGCAAAAACATCTTCTGAGCATAACTTTTTTAGCTTAACAGCTCCCTCGATTCATCTGATTTTTTCATGATGAAATATTCCTCTACTGAACCCTAATCGACTGGCATTTCCAGAATCAGGAAAATCCAGAACCGTTGTTGCAAAAATTTAGATTATTTTGTTTTTATCAAAAAGTTCATCCTGTATATGGGTTTTGTAAACAATGACAGGAAATCTTCAAAGCACACAAACAAGCATCAAAATAAAATATTCGAAATTTTCCTCACACTTTCACAGAATTTTTCAAATAACGATCAATTATGAGCAAAAACGAAAGTTTGATAACAAATTTATTCATTCGAGAATAATTACTTCGCAACGCATAAATTTCACAATGAATATAAGTAAGAAAGTAAGACGTACATTTTCAATGCTTTAGCACATGTTCTTTCATTTTCAGGACTGGATTTCGTCATTTTCTTCTTTGTGGAGGATAATAATCACCCTGTAGATCTTTTTCAAATCAGTATGGGGTATCTGTCCAGATGTTAATGGTCATCGATTCAAATGATGCAAGATAGTCGAACAGAAAATGAAGGTTTATTCACAATTATTTTTCAAAAGCTATACTGGCAAAGGCGGATAATAATTTCAGTACGGAAAATAAGTGACCAAATTATTTGAATAAAACAAATCGAATATTATATAAAACTGTGAATTGAAATCATAAAATTATTTTCACCGATGGCCATCAAAATTTTCACAGATACCTCATCCACTGATTAGAGAAGATCTACAGGGTGATTATTATTCTCCACAAAAAAATTGAATTACTGAATCCATGCCTGAAAATAAAATAATATGTTGATTTTCATCGAGCTGAAGCATTGAAATTGTAACTCCCACTTTCATTCGTGAAATTTATGGGTTGCGATGTATTTATTTCCGAATAAATAATTTTTTTGCCAAATTTTAATTTTTTCATAAAATTCATAGTTTTTCCAGACTGCAGTGGAAGTGTGCTGAGGAAGATTTGGAATATTTTATTCCTGATGTTTGTGTGTGACCTTAGAAGATTCTCTTTCACAGTTTACAAAAACGATATGCAGGATGAATTTTTGCTATAAACTAAACTATCGAAATTTTTCAAGAACGATGCAGGATTTTTCAGATTCTGAATACGTTATTAGTCGATTAGAGAGTAGTAAGGGAATATTCCATGAAAAAATCAGACAAATCGAAAGAGCTGTTGAAAAATTATGACTAAAATATGTTTTGGCCAAATCACATAATTCTCCCTATATATTAGAAAAGAAGTGAAGGAGACACTTTCTATTGGACATTCGGTATAGCCCTCAGGGGCATCTATTCGTGGTAGGAGTATGTACAGTTCCTCATGACTCACCCTGTATAAACGTTCGACATCCTGTTACAGGAATCTGCGGCAACAATAAGAGTGTCCATACTGTCCGTCATCAGCCGAAGAATGAAAATTGATCTTGGAAATGAAAAATGTTACATTTCATATAAAATATTCGATATTCGCGAAACTAAGGAATTGATATAAAATTCAGACCCGCTGCACCAACTACATTTGCAACTTCTGAAATTTTCTGAACGCTGATAATACAGTGTGACCCATTTAAGATGGAAGCACCCTTATAAAACTCACATTTTTCAACCGATTGGAATGATTTTTTTTTTGTTAGGTAGATATTCAAAAAGTCTATTAGGACACCAAATATCATGAATAAATCTCCATTTCCAGGGCCAACTAATCTGATTTTTCAAGGTCAAAAATCTAAAAAAATTACTAGCGATTTTTTTAGAAAAAATCTGACTACACCACTGGATTTGTGACATTTTCAAATGGGTAACATGTAAATTACGTTGAAATGCGTCAATCAATAAAAAAGTTATAAAGGAATGAAGTTTGAAAAATATGCCGTTTAATCAACCGACCAATTCATGTTCAGGAATTTTATGAAAATTTTGTATACTCCACTGGATTCAGGATGTCTTGAAATATTACTGATCACAGTTTCATCGAAATCTGTTCAGTAATAAAAATTGATGGGTTGATTAAACGGCATATTTTTCAAATTTCATTCCTTTATAACTTTTTTATTGATTGACGCATTTCAACGTAATTTACATGTTACCCATTTGAAAATGTCACAAATCCAGTGGTGTAGTCAGATTCTTTCTAAAAAAATCGCTAGTAATTTTTTTAGATTTTTGACCTTGAAAAATCAGATTAGTTGGCCCTGGAAATGGAGATTTATTCATGATATTTTGTGTCCTAATAGACTTTTTGAATATCTACCTAACAAAAAAAAATCATTCCAATCGGTTGAAAAATGTAAGTTTTATAAGGGTGCTTCCATCTTAAATGGGTCACACTGTATATACCTGCCCATTTTTAAACTACAGAGGGAATGAAATTATTGACTGAATCGTCAAAAGATATTGAACCGGAATATATCCAGATTTGCTCATGTTAAGGAAGTGGAAATGAAATATATCGAAGAGGAAATTATTTAGCACGATAGTCACCTATACCTATATACCGGGTTACTCAAATTTGAGGGCTACCATTGGGATCCCGGAAATTTTTGAATTCCAAGTATTGCCGGAGATAGAAAAAAAACTGAAATTTTGGTGAATCATTCAAATTTTCTTCTATGTGTTATGAATCTTTGGAGAATATCAAAATGTACATTGTTTTGTTTTGCTGCTATACGATGACATTTGAATCACCCAGTATATAGATACGCTTTCCAATAAACATATTTCTATGTCTTTATGAGGAACTAACTGTCATATTTGGTGAATGCTTCCTCAGAAACGATACCGATGAGTAGAGGTACTCTATCCATATGTCCTTCTTGTATTGCTGAATACATATTTTCAGTAAGGAACGCTTTTTCGTGATCTGGCTCTATAGCAGGAGTGAAAGGCCAACCTTGAACATCCATCTGATCTAATAGAGATTTCTGTAAATGAAAAGTAGTGTCTTCAGTGGAAAAGTAATGTGATATCTGGAATCAGTGATACATTGATTGAATATTTTCACCTAGTAGGGTAAAGTACGGTTAGATGCCGCGGGGGGATAGATGCCGCAGACCACGTGACGCGAAAACTATGTACACATGACAACAACTCTCGGCGGGATGGAAGAGCTATTCGGCCATTATTGTTTTGCATGCGGTGGATGCTTCGATTGAGCAAGTTTTTAACTTGAATTGTGGGAATAAAGTTGCTAAGATGTATTTTTATTGCTTGATATTTATTTGTATGTTGTTAATAGTATTGGGGATAAAAGTTTAAAATAACAAAATGGGATAATTTTACATTTATAGTGTTATATAGGGCATATTCAAGATTTTGTTTTGTATTTTCGGCTACAGAGTCATAGGGCGCAGGCGTAGGCTGGTGAGGCATCTATCCGTATCAAAAGGGAGACATGCCGCACTTTTTGATACAGATAGATGCCACAAAAGTTTCAATGATAAAATAGCATAATTTTATATTTTACCGATCATAGAACATCGAATAACTTCACATCCGACAGCGAAGATGAGTTTCCGTTATCCGATTTGAAGGAAAACCAAAATCCTGAATCAGCCAAGCAAGATACTGACAAACAATTTTTTTGCGTGGAATGTTTTGAGGATCACAGTAAAACCTCCAAGACATATTCTGCATAAGATGCAACCCATGCAAACGTGCAGAACTACAACAATAAATTGCGGCATCTCTCCCTTATGGGAATAAACATTGGGCATCTCTCCGCATGACTATAGGCATCTCTCCGTACCTGGGGGGGGGGTAGAGTTGCCAGAAAACACTTTTTTTTCCGTGATTTTTTTTTAGTAGTAGAGTTTTTTTTATGTTGTTGTAGGACCAATATTTCGATGAAAAATTGATGAAAGAATGATCGTATGTTTTTTGAAATACATATTTTTTGTTACTCGAGATTTTATATATTTTTTACAAAAAGTGCGGCATCTATCCGTATTTTACCCTATAAAATTCTAACAATAGTACAATCATACCAGAACACTTGAAACGAATTTTCTTCTAGTTTCTAAACGAATGATCCGATTTTCATGCAGTTTATACCAATCGCTTCAATAAAATATTCTACATAAGGGAAAGTATTTATTTATGAAATTTTCGACAGAAAAAAAAATAAGTACACTTAATTTCTATGTAATCATAACAAATGGGGGTTTCCCTCAAGTGGATGTAGGTTTTTTGAAATCAGGTATCAATTTTATTTCGGAAGATTGAAAAGGCAGCCGCTAGCCAATCTGCAGGCAACCCAAGGGCGCACGGATTTTTAACTAGACTAGTTTTAATTCGCTCAGGTGAGTCAGGTGCTCAGTGTGAGTTCGTACTTTTTCGAGTTCGTGTACCTATTCGTAATCATGGAAAAAGTGAAAGAAATGAAAGGCGCTGCGGAGGGAAAAAGATTATTTGCAAGTGAGAAAAGAAGTAGCCGTAGAAGAGCCCAAAAGAAATCATTACTGAAGAGGTACGTCATAGTATTGGAATAACTGATAAAACGTATTTTCTGCAGATATCTAACTCTGAAAGCGTTAGGAATTGCGACAGGATTATAATTAGAGAAATGTGTGTTTTCCATGTATGCATTGAATTACATAAAAATATACAAGGGCTCTAATTTGAGATAATGAAAATAAAGTGCTTCAAAATTTGAAGTTTGCCAATGATTTTCAAACATCATGTGATGATTCTTATGCATATTTAAATCACCAAAATCCTATATGTTGAGTAATACTTCTTTCCGAATATGCTGAAATTCGAACTAGACGTTGATTCAACAAAATATTTATTTTTCAGTGATGGTGTACGTCCAATGTGTAGGATAAATGAATCTTCCCAAGATTCACCAGTTGAGAATCTGGAAACAACTGATGATATTCCTCAGTGGTACAAATATATTCGTTCTGATCTTGCTTGTACCAGCTCACATCTGCATTATTTTCAGTGACCCTTTTAGAGGCATATCTATACACGGTACATGTGGTACAATTGCTACTGAAAAGTACGGTGGTACTACATTGTGAAATTGGACCCATATGTGGTACATTTGATTGAAATCAATTCCCAAATTGAGAAGAAAATTTCATCGAAGGTTATATTGTTAGTAATAATATTGATAACCAATAGACACGTAACAGAGTTCACAGAATTATCGTATTGCCCTCAACACAAAGTCAAAATACAACAAATGTCTCTCGCCAGGCATGCGAATAGTAGCAGGCTGCTGTGCTGCAGAAAATATCAAGGTTATCAGAAGGTTGATAGGTATCATCAAGAGAATGAGGAAGGAAAATATCGTTCCTGCATGGAAAAGGGGACTACTTTCAACCTTACTCGGCCTAAATGAACCCTATTTTTCCTCAAAAGTAATATTTCTCAAAAATTACAAGCCAACACACGATATTTCTTCTTTCTTCATGGTTAAGACTTTCGAGTAGTGCGATAGCTCAGTGGTCTGTGTCTATGACTCTCGCGTTCTCTTTTCAAATGTTTTTCACAAGTAATAATTTTTCGAAAAATATACTTTTCAGGTACAAGGTTAATTTAGGTCGAATTAGGTCCAAAGGGTATCCTCATTCATGCATAAACGATATTTTCTTCATTATACCTCACAACCTTCTGATAACCTTGAAATTTTCCTCAGAACAGTAGCATGCTTCTAATTGAATGACTGGCGAGAGATATTTGTAAAACACAGAATTTTCTGGTCACTGGCATCACTACTATCTTGACTGATCTATATCCCATATCTCAGCAACCCAATAATTCCGGGTAAAGTACTCGCCTGAAAACGCCTCGGATCAATGCGCAGGAACACCCAAATTTTCGTTCATGACATTGAGGTCATTGAGTCACGTCTCTTGGTGTTGGGAAACATAAGTAATAAGTATGACAGGTCCTAAATGTGTATGATTCATGTTCTTCAGTTCGAACTTTTTCCTTATGGCATTGGATGACTACATAGTAGTTCATGTCAGTGACAGTGATTAGTAAATGGTGACGTGTGAAACTGCAAGAAGAGAATTGAGAATATTTTGTTTTTTATTTGTTTTCATATGCTACGTTTCCACTGTAAATATTTTGAAGGAAAAAATTGTCTAGTGATTTTCATTCTATTCAAAATAGTGGTACATTCAGTGTTGAATGTGGTACATTTTTTCTGATAGGTTGGTACAAAATGAAAATGTTGTCTGGCAACACTGGTTACTGCTGTTCTACGAGTCGGGTGCAACTGTGTATTCCTCTTATAAATGTGATAACTGAAATTAACATAATGATAAATTTATTGTTTCGAATTTGTGCAGTAGTGAAGCCAAACACTCTTTCTCTTCTTACTCTTTAAAGTGCTCACGATCAATTATTTCAATCTCGCTATATCTATACAGAGTGATTCAGATTTTGATCAGGAAAATTTGATTGGCGATAGTACACGCAAAAATGAAAAAAAGTTCATATAAGCTTGATGTATTGTAATGAACGGGTATATCTTAGACAAAATTATGTAAATTTCTGAATTATTTTGAACTAAGTACAGTGAACAATAATTGTCTTAAATAAAAATAACTTTTATCATGCGTCTACTAGGCAATATTATTACGTGAACGGACGAATGTTTATTTTGAATTGAGTGCAGCATCATTAGCATAAACAAATGTATAGAATAAGTAGGTACGTTACCTTTGTAAAACGAATTCACTGGTCACTTGAGAACGAAGCAGGTTGATATCACAGGACCGAATTGAGAGACAAAAATGACGTTGATGAGAATTTGCAGAGAATTTATAAGTTCAGTAAAGAGGGAGTGACTTTAATCTGATTGGCTTGAAAGATCAATAAATTATTATTCAGCCCAAATACGTAAAGGAAAGAGCATGTAATTGTCAATTTTGTTAATATTCCTGAAGTGAATTATTATCATAACATTGGAGAGTTACATCGAAATCATCTCACTTGTGCAAATTAAAGCCGAGACAAATTAATGAGAATCATAAACCACATTGAATTATTACTTGAAAAAGGGTTAATGGAAAACTATAGTAAATGACAGTTTTGTTCACATTAAGAGTATGAGTTATAGCTTAAAATTATTTATCATCATAACAATTCAGAACTACAGCAAAATCTTTTCAGTTTCGCATATTAATCCTAATATCCGTAATTTATTGCTCAAAAATTCACTAGAAATCTTGCTCAATATAAACACAACATGAAACTTGTCTCATATTTAATTGATTCTCTCGAAATTTATTGCCAAAATTCAGTATAAAAGCAGGAAAATTCGACTTCAACTTCAGTCTTAAACGTGACTCAATACAAAACGTATCCAGCCGACTTTGTATCTGTCTATCAAACATGCTACGTTCGAACAGTACCAGTGAACTTCGTTAATAATACCTGTGTAAGTGACCACTCAGGTAGATTTATTGTAATCTGCAACTTTGGTGACAAAGACGTAAAAGTGAAGTGAATCTCTCGCCAATTGAAAAAACAAGTGAACAGTGTAACAATAATGTGCAATCTAAAATGTAAGCAAACTTTGATTTTGTTGCCTGTAACCTCTGCCTGACCATTCTGCCTGAATATATGTCTCTGTAACTATCTATATGTTGTCTTATTGTCTACAATCTCAGTCTGCCTCCTGCCTCAATAATCAACGAACCCATTGATCGAGGAAAACTTACTTTGTAACGACCCCCTGTAGTAGGCCAACGAACGAAGAAAGTTGGGGGCATTACAGTATGTTTCGTAGCTATGTTTTCGAGAGACAGGGTTTTGAAGTTATAGGTATATATTATTTTCCTTTTTCCTTTATCAACCTGTATAATCTTTCATAACGCCAAAATTCAGTATTGTCGATGATGAATTTATTGGACCCTCTGTGGGGTGCCAATACTAACGGGAATCTAGCTACGCCATATGGAATATTTTTATATCATACACAAAAACTCAAAAAGTTAACGAAAATCAGATCACAAGTGTTCGAGCAGTGAATACAAAACAATTTTTTCAAACAATGTCAACACCTTGTTTCTCGAAAACGTAACGTCCTGTAGATGTTCACTCATTTCGCAAAAATATATATCATCATTGTGGGTGCCTATTGCCTGTTTCATCAATGTTTTCTAATACTTTCGAAACATGATGTCGGACTCCGCAGTTTTGTGTTGTTTTAGTTCAGTTTTTCTGTAGTTTCAGTGTTATTGGAATATTGGACTAATATCCATTGGAATAGGTATGCTATTTGGATTGTGAATTGTTTGAATAGAGAAGACGTATATTCCAGCATACAAAAACAAGCCATTTTCTTGAAATCAAAGCATATTTTACCAAGTGAAGTAATCTTTTTCATAAAAACTCTCTGTAGGTTAATCGAGGAGGTGGTACATTCATGCCCCAAAATGTCACACGTATATTGTGATAATATTCATATTTTCATTTTATGGAGACGAGGAGAGAAAATCCCAAGAAATCTGGAATAATGAATCTTTTTCATTTTTTGTGTGTATGTAGTTCTCAAAGTTATCATCTAAATGGTTTGGAAAAAAGCTAACCTGTTCATTGCAGAGCAGATTATCATACGTACCGGAAAATTGTGTACAACTGAATCTATCTCTTCAGCTGGAACTGTACGTAGAAATTTGAGTAATTCTTCGGAACTGGCATTTTTATTGAAACTACTATCCAATAATACGGCAAGATGATGAGCATTCCTTTTGTAGTTTAGTTGATACGACCAAGAAGATAAAGACGTGCCACTTTGACATACAGCAGAGTTGTATAGACCTGGAATAGTGGGACAAACATCAATGTTTCTTATTGAGAGGACAATTGTACGATAATATTATAGTTCCTCCTTTTTCTGAAAACTATAGAATCAAATGTCAAGTCCCAGTATCAAATATAAGTGCGCGTTCTTAGGGCACGGAGCCCTTAATTTTTAATAAAAACCCGTTTATTCTCAACCCCTCTTGTCACCAATATAACCACTATATTATGATGGGAGACATCGGCATATCCAATTCAAAGTATTGTTTCACCTTCATTAACTTCTTAAAACGGCTACTTTTGAAAAGTCCGAAACATGTGTCCTCGATTCATCTTCATCAGTAATAGAGTAGTGGAGATGAGTTTGAGCTTTCTATCTTCCTTTTTTATGTAATTATTGTTTCAACTAACCTCTAGATAACTTGCTCATCAAATGCAATCCGACTGATGCTGCTCCTGAACTATGCCCTACAATACTGATTCTGTTTGGGTCCCCACCAAAATAAAGTATATTTCGATTGACCCATTTCAGTGCTAGAACCTGATCTTTCATGCCATAGTTTCCAGGAATGACATTGTCACCAGTTGAGAGGAATCCTATATTATGGAATAGATATTTACTCAACCATTTGTGTTACGATGCGATTTTGCGAGACAAAAGCGAAACGCAAAAGAGTTACACTCTGTGATTGGCGGGATCTCGCTTCGTTCGTAAAATCCCATCGTCACATAACTGCGTTTCCTAACTAGAAACTTACAAATGCTCACAATATTTCGTTTTGATTGGATGAGAATTTCACACCTAACATATTCGACCAATTAGAAGTCTGCATATTGTATCGTTACCATAGCAACTGAACGAATTTCTGATGGAAATGTTTTCCCCCTCCTTGGGTGAAGGAGTATGAAATTACACTGGAATTTTTTTGATGTTTATAGATGAAATGACATTGACATCCACTTTAGATTATGTCAAATGAAATTGAGCTATTATCGACTTTTTTTCTATTATTTTATCAAACTTAAAAGTCAGTAAAGTCGGTTGATTAGGTATATTCTATTCAACCGAATAATTTACATTTCATTGATATAAAATAGTACTTCAAGTTTCTTGTGAGAAAATGAATTTATACCAACTTTAGTGAAACGATTATGTACAAAACCGAGAAATGAGGTCACTATCGACTTATTTTTCATAATTTTATGTAACTGAAGTGAGTTAAATTAGTTTTACTTGCCATAACAATGTAATGGATCTGAATTTCATCAATATCTGCTACACATTGCTTCGATTTTTTTGTAACAGAATATGTTTCCACCAACTTTAGTGGAATAAGTTAGTCAAGAATATTGGTTTAAACTACCACCAGCTAGCTGCCTTATAATTGAGAGGGTTAGAAAACACAAAATCATCTCCACAACGTTTGATAAAATCGGAAGATTATTTAGGGAAACATGTTTCGGACATACATGTGTTAATCATCAGCCTCAATCCTTACAAAAAAATATAGAATAGAGAATGTAAGGACAAAGACACACGAGGCGCATTTTCGCCGAGCGTATGCCGCACACACGCAGTTTTCTTTTGAAACATGGTTATTGAAAATCAGAACGCTGAAGAAGTGAGACGTTGTCAAGTGATCATGGATTCTGATGATGAATTCTTAACAATAATTGGCAATACATTAAATTGCCGATTGAAGAAAAAAAAAGAATAGACGTATGTGGATTCACCCAATCGTGGAAAAAAAAACAATCAAAGAAGATGACGAAAAGTTTTTTAATTTCGTTAGAATGTCCAGAAAGTCATTTGATGCATTACTCTCACTCATCATCGTGAAACTGACACACAAACAATATGAGATATTTGGCAACACGCAACGACTTCGAATGGTCGAGAATGCAGCCTCGTGACGAGCGGGACTAGGCGCAATGGGCGGCACATGGTCAAGATGATGTGACGAGCGCGAGGGGTAAGTACTTAGCCATTTTTTGTACACCAGGGGGTAATGAATGCCTCAATTCACCGAAATTACCCTGCAATGCCCATTTTTCAGTCAACAATACCCCGCATTGCCCAACATTGCCCTCCAATGCCCAACATTGCCCCCGCAATGCCCAACAATGCCCACAATGCCCAACAATGCCCCTAGTGCACTATATAACTATCTCTTTTCATTCCATGTGTTGAAGAGAGACAGACTATATTGAAATGTGAAAACTGATTAATGTCTTTTACATAGTTCCAATTCATTTTAATCTCTTAGTGAATTAATCATCTGATGGACAAGGAATAATGAATAATTATACATATTTTATCAAGAAATCTCACAAAACAAGCAGTCGAACATAAGACGAACATGTTTTTTTCTTCTATACTTGATAACTAAGTATTTATTCCTAAAGGTACTTCTTTAGACAGTATCACAATAATTCAGAGATCATAGTTTGGTAACAGGAACACTGGGCATATAAGTCCAGATACAGTCCAGAACAGTTCTAAAATCTCGACTAAAATTAAACATTTTTTTAAGTTTATAATTACTAAAAAAACGCAAACTCTGAATTCTTTCTTGAAACTACAACAAAGTTAAGATTTTCTTGAACCAAAAACAACTTGAACCTGAATATATATTCTGTTAAAGCATATCACACTGGATATCACATTAGTCAACTTGAGTATGTTTTTAAAATTCGGAATTTTTTTTCGACTCCAAATAAAGATTGGAAATGTTCACTTTATCCGCTCTTTTCAGGAGAAACGGAGAATTTTCCCCAAGTACAAGTGGTCCGTAAGAAATACCATCTTTTGGTATTGAATTTTCAATTTCTGATTTTTTTGGCCACTTGTTGAAATGTTTTCTAAAAACCTTATTCAAAATCTGTCTTGGTACTTTTTCATTACCAGCCCCAGATACCAGTTTTTATCAAATACCACTACATAGAAATTATTTATTTATTTATTTATTTCAGCATCGAAAACGTCTGAAACGATATCTGGTTCATTTTCTTCTTCTGAAGAATCTCCGATACATCCAGTTTTCATTTTCTTAGTTTTTGAATTGTCAGCAGGTATTTTCGACTTTCTCTTTTGGACAGATCTACCAAAGTGACTTTCAATATGGACTTTTCTCATATTTATCGTAGTTTTTACTCGAATAGTCGGTTGAATCCAATTCCAATCCAATCCAAAGCTAGCTGTAGCCGGAGTTGATGACAGCATGACGCGATGCGAAACGCTTGAATGACGCAATCAAAATGTAGGCGGAGGCATCACCTTGAACCATAGAACTGAATATACTGACCTCGAACAGAAACGGATGCGCGCGCAACAAATTAAGCCCAAACATTGCTCCACATTGCCCTTTCAGTGCCATTTCAATACCCCACATTGCCTATAACAATGCCTCACAATACCTTGCAATGCCCATCAATACCCTGAAGTGCCCGACAATGCCTCGCATTGCCCCGCAATGCCCCACACTGCCTCGCATTGCCCCGCAATACCCCTAAGTTGTACACCGGATTGCCCCATGACGCGCGTTTCGCCAGAGCTGTGACCAAAGATACCAATATTTTTGCGCCTCGTGTGTGCGGTCATGTGTATTATAAGACCACTATGTTGTGTCGGCAGCCAAGCGGCATACGCTCGGCGAAAATGCGCCTCGTGTGTCTTTGTCCCAAATATTTTTCATGAATAACTTGTATCATATTATAGGACCTTTGGTTTGTAAGGATTTAGGCTGATGATATACACATGATTGTCCGAAACTTGTTCCCCTAAATGATCTTCCGATTATTAAACTTTGTGGAGATGATTTTGTGTTTGCCTAGTATTATTTTGCTCAAGTAAAGTTGGTATTTTATCGTAATCTTTTATGATATTATTCATTCGATGATATTATACAGGGTGATCCACGGTGGATGGCCTATTAGAAGTATTTGGAGAACGAAAAGAACATTCTGAAAATTGGGATGCTCCAATAAGTGAACATTTTATATCCGTCTAAAATATTTCCATCGATACAGTGTTGCCACTTCTATCAGAAACAACTAGCAACTTCGTTATTTTCAATATATCACCCTGTATTATATTGCATTTTAGGATTCTTCCTGAAGAGCTGATTTCATCAATGTTTTACACTTGGGGTCTAGTAGGAATGATTACAGAAATATGGGGTGTTGAAAATAGAAATTTTTGAATTTTAGGATTTTTTTGTGTCGATACTATCCATTATCATACATCATACATTCAAACATGTCCCTATCTTAACTTTCGATCCACTATCTACTGACATTGGAACAGATACAGGGTGATCTAACATAAATTCAACAGTTTCTTAACATTAACTTGAAATTAACTTAACATTAACTCAACATCAACTCAACATCAACTTGAAATTGACCTAACATTGACTTAACATCAACTTAACATTAACTCAATAATAATTCAAACATTAACTCAACATTGAATCAACATTAACTCAAAATTAACTTGACATTACCTTAAAATCAAATTAACATCAAAACTCAATATCAAATTGACATTAACTTCACATTAATCACTAAATTGTCAATACATTGACATTAATTCAACTTTCAATTGAAATTAACTTGATTTCAACTTTTCATCAACTTAACATTACGTCAACATCAACAACAAAAACTCATGTTAAATCGACACTAACTTTCCATTAACTTGACCATAACTTAACTTACCATAATTCAGCATAATAATCATTCATTGGTACATCATAATCTATAGACCCTGTTACTGTGCGATTTTCGAATATTTCCACCCATGTGAGTTTTACTTCCGAACTTCCTAACTGTTATATGTTGTCATATAGTGAAAAGAGTCACTTTCTCGATAACAAATCAATGTGTTTTGAGCTGTTCTCATAGGTGGTCGTAGGAAAATATATTTACTCAATAGTAACAAATCCAGTGACAATTTGAAAAACTAAAAGGGAAATCGAGTTTACTTAATATTGATGGTTGCCTGAAATCATATTTCAATGCTCTTTGGAATACGGGAGAAGATTGTATTTCGAATAGATATTTTATATAGATAGTTGGATTATAGGTGTTCGAATTCTACTTGTTGCTGATCGATCATAATTTATAATTTATAATTATGATTCACTCTCACCTAGTGGACCTAATCTATAGTTGAAGGTGACAACAATAACGCCATTTTTCATTAAATGATCTGGTCCAAATAGGTCATAGTCACTTGCTCCACTGAGGTAACCCGAGCCATAAATGTAAAACATAACAGCCAGTGAACCTCCAGATGATGCACACTGGAAATATTGAAAATACCGAATAATTTTGCTCTATACGGTTGCCATGCCAAAGTAGAAATAGCATCCACATTCCCACAACTCGACCGCTAGATGCTATGCCATAGATGCTTTGATGGAGTTTTATTGCTTCAAATGACGTTGTTGGCCGTTTCATCTCTCCTGATATATCCTAAAATCTTTTTATGCACGACCGGTCGTAAAGTAGCTCATTACCGCCTGGTCTTGCGGGTGTAAAATTACACTTTACCGACCGCGCACTACTTTACCGCCTGTCGTAGAGGTAACCCGTAACATGCATCACTGTACAATTCAGGGCATTTAGTTTCAGTTCCTTAGCTAATGTTACACGTCTTTTAATATTTCTGAGATGCAAAATCATATTATCGAACGCAAAATGTGATGACATCAATTGACAGCGAAAATAATATTCTACTCCACCTCATTCAAAAAATTTACTGAGTTACTATGGTAACGTCGATACCATCGATACATAACTATTTTCTGCAATATGTTCAAAACGTCCATTTTTGTTTCAAAATTAGCTCTTGAAGTTGAGGTTTCTCTCAATGAGACAATAAAAGGATTAATATATATTTTGCTATGCAACACATTTAGTGTCCAGGAGCTAGAGTTGAAGTTCAACTCCTAGGAACTAAGTACTTAGTCGGATGACGCTGATATGATAGCTGCTTTGACACTGATATGCTCAAGTGACTCAAAATAGTGGTATTTTCACTCATATTTTATCAATTAGGTATCCATTATTTCGATTGCACTATAATCACTCCTTTTTCTCAAAGAAAACATAGCTTATATAATCCAGGGCTGCTGCTCATTCACATTTTACTTTCTGAAGAAAACGCCGATAGGTACTAACGATTAACTTCTTTTTTCAGCAAGACAAAGGTGACTCAATAAACCAACGTAGTATGTCTTATGGTTTTTATGGAAAGATGATTTAACGAGAGATCATCAAAAATATACCATTTTTGATTACAAGATCTGTCCACTTTCAAAGCTTCAATATTTGCGCTAGCATCAGCCAAAGTTGTGTCGTCTGCGGAAGAAACGAAAGTATTGGGATACATTTTGTGCAAGTTTTGTCAGTAATTTAGGTTGATGATAAATTAGAGAGGACCTGACATATAGCTTTATGACGAATATGTAATCAGATGATAAATTATTGACGATCCAACTTTCATTCAATTACTCAAATTTTTTTGATGAAATCTAGTGGGAATCCTCCAATTCCAAAATATGTCAGTTTTTTGACAGAATACCAAAATTCTGTAATGATTTCTATTCATTATAATCTTTTATTTGAGCAGAAAAGAATACCTCATTGATTATGCATTTGGCGACGAGACAATACAATATATTTTCAAGTTTTCTTTCATGATGTTGAAATAATTAGCTGTCACATACAACTTACAAGAAGCTTCGAACGATTTGAGAAAGTGAGGTAAGAATTCATCCTCTGTCAAGAAAAGTAGGTGTTCCATCTATAGTTCTCTGTAGGAGAGATTATGTATTTCTGTTTTTACTTACCACTGGTGTATAGACATTCAAATAAAGACAATCTTCTGTTTGAGACTCTCTCCAATCATAAACATGTAGGAAATTGATGAATTGAAAGCATGTTTTGGTATTTTTTGTCACATTCAGAATACCATCCCACTTTTCTGGAGGTACCGGATCCTATAAAATAAAAATTGCATTCTTCACCATTATAGGTATACCCAATAAGTATTACAATTTTACTCTTCCAGAACTCGTCTGAGTTTCACTCTTCCAGAGCTCGTCTATGGTACTTGGTAAGTGACAAATAAACATACACATACTTGAAACTATATTGTTGTCTAGTGAAATAACTTGTTTTTAATTCTAACGATACTATAATTTATTCTCAAAAAGCAACTGATTCCGTTTCAAAGTCGATTTTGGATCTCGAATTAATTTCTATGAATCGCTGAATGATCATCAGTAGGTACACTTCTTCATCTGAATAGTCTTACCATAGATTAACGACTTACCTCAAATCGTAGTTTTCCTATCGGTGGCATGGCATAAGGAATTTGTTGAAATGCGTAAAATTCGATATTTCTTGAAGAAATCGCTTTTCGTCCTCTCAATTTACCATCGGGTAACTTGACTAATGTGCATATATCTTCTATCAATTCATTATTTGCTTTCTGGAAATAATATCAATAATAGTTCATGTTTAGGTTAAAATTTTTCACAAGATTAAGTTTTGCGGAGTAGAAATACGTTCGTCACATATGAAATTCCTCCGGTTCTATGGAGTTTTTGAGGAGATTCGAAACCCCCGCGATTTTTTCTCATCAGTAAACGAATTTTCCGGATGGAATGTAATCATTATTGTAATACTGTAAAATATTGTAAATTATAATGTCAACGGCGTAAGTTACCGTCCAACGTGGTGAATCGGAACTCGGGGGTTAATCGAGACGGCTTGTGCTCGACCTTCATTTGGCCGTTTATTTCAAAGCAAGCAATATTTTGAGGTCGTATAGCCTCGGTATTAGCAAGTGATAGGGTTGACCTATTAGTATAAAAGATTTCAGCAGGTAGTCAATGTGGCCGCTTCGAGGAATTTGTCCTTTTTTGAGGGACTTTTGAGGTCCACGGGGTACAGACATTCATCTAATTTCGAGGGATTTCTTCACCTGCATGTGCTGGTGCAAAACCCTGAAATCTGAAATGAATTCAGCATCATCTAGCGATAAAAAACGAAAACTGATAGGAGGTGTATTAAGTGCGCCATTAAGTTAGGATACAGGGACGTTATTGAAGAAACCTTATCTGTTGTTGATTATTTGTTGATAAAATATGTATTTAATATAATGAATGTTTATTCATGATAACTTCCAGGTTTGTCCGCATTTGTTAGGTAAACTACTATATACAGTGTGTCCACTTTAAGGACTTACCACCCCTGTAAAATTGTTATTATCTGACCGATTTCGAAAAACTTTTTTTTTGTTGGGTAGGTATTTGAAATGTCCATCCAACAAGAGAGTGATTTTACTCATGAACTGTAATCGTGGCCAACTGCGACCAACTTTATTGACCCATATTTGAGAAAGTACTATTCGGGACTTTTTTTCACAAAAAACAATGATGAATTCTGAATCACGATCACTTGAGAAACACTTTCACTGATTTTTATCATCATAATACACAGGGTGTCCGAAAAAACGAATTATGTTTTTTTTTATATGTGATCAGAAAATGTAGTATTGTGGTATTATTGAGGAGAATTGATGGCACATTATTATTGAGGATCCATTTTGAACATATCTGTACCGACTTTCATCATTCAAAAATACGATGTGTATGAGAAAACAATTAAAAAGAAAAAGTAGGCAGTATTTTTTCATCAACTCGAAAAAAATATTAACTTGAATTTTCGAACACCCTGTGTTTAATGATGATGAAAATCGGTACAGGTATGTTTCAAGTGATCCTGATTCATCTTTTCATTTTGAGTGAAGAATAATCAGGATGAAAAATATTGCTTACCTATCCATTTACGTTTTTTTCTCAGACATATTGTATATTCAAATGACGAAAATTGGTACAGATATATTTGAAATAATCCTCAATGATAATTTGTGATTATTTCTTTCTAGAAAAACCACAGAACTACATTTGCTGATCACCTTTTTGAGGAAAATGATGATCCGTTTTTTCGGACACCCTGTGTTTTATGATGATGAAAATTGGTACAGGTGTATTTCAAGTGGTACTGATTCAGAATCCATCATCAAGTTTCGTGGAAAAAATCCCTAATAGTACTTTCTGGAATATGGGTCATTGAAATTGGTCGCAGTTGGCCATCACGATAACAGTCCAAGAATAATTGTTGGATGGGCACTTCAATAACCTATCCAACAAAAAAAGGTTTTTTGAAATTGGTCGGATATTAACGATTTTACAAGGGTGGTAAGTCCTTAAGGTGGACACACTGTATATACGAATCCGATATTAACTCACCTGATTATCTTTTCCATATGTGGTATCAGTTTTGTTTCCACTGATATATCCCTGTTTCAGGATGAGAACTAATATGACTATTATGACGATTCCTAATGTGAGATTGTATAGTGTGGGTTCTCTTAGGATTCTGCAAATTTTGGAACCAGACATTACAAAGACTTCCTGGAGAACTGTTGCCGCGTTGGAAATATCTGATAATGATCCTATGTTCCTATGAATAAGTCTACTGTTTTTACTATTACTATTGTTGAAATAAACTATCTAGTTGATGAGTATTCACGAATTATTTCCAAATGTGTGCCTAGAAATCACATAATTATCATTCTTCCAGTTCTAATGAGTTCATTATTGTTTGTTGTACGGAATATAATAAGCCGCCTTGGCATCCATATTGGGAATTCCAGCGTTATCGACAAACATTACACAATCCCAGAAATATATTTTTAACTTGAAAAATACTTCAACACCTTCCTCCTCGCCCTATCCTCCCTAACCCCTAGCATGATGTCATTAGAACATTAGATAGCTGACACATTCCATGAGCGACATCTGCTCTGAGGGCGATTCTATCTTATTAGAGCATACGTAGGGCAATGTATTTTGGAATAGGCGAGTGGACTAAATTTGTTTTATTTCACAAATAGAATCATCACTCAAATACCTTCCGATTTTATATTTCTTGAGAATTTTTTGGTAGATTTTTAAGTGCTAAAATCATCAATAATGCCACGGTAATTTTCAAACGGCTAGATAGAAATTTACCGCCAGTAAAAACTGATGCCACGATTTCGTTAGTAGGGGCATACTATAGCATAGTTGCCATGTGTTGAAATACGATTGAGAATTGCAGAAATATCAGTCATTTGTTGATTCATAAATTCACAATTGAATATTGGCAATACTCCTAATTAGCATTAAAAATTCAATTGTCTCAAAATGTTTCCTCTTGATATGTGGATGGCTTGTAATAAATTTGTGTGAATGATAATAAAATTAATTCACACTAGAGGCCATTTGAATCAGTGAACGTGACAACCACGGTGCACGACTTGTGGGCGTGGTCTTGTCAGTTCTCAGCATTCAGCACAATGTTGCCAAGTCTCCAACATTCACATGATATGCTGTTATGGAGAATAAGAAATATTTGGACATGCTGGTTGCTCCTTTTATGTTTTATTTTTCTTTTTTTTATCGCTTGAAGCGCACGAAAGGAAATCCCTATAATGTTCGAAGAACATCGTGCGTTCCTAGGGAGGATAGGGACAGGAGGTAGGTATTGGATTTTTTTTTAACTTCTGGAGATTATATGTTGTTGGTAATACTTCCTCAGGCAATGAATTCTAGAGCCTTGCCGTTCTATGGATGAAGGAGTTTTGATAAAGTGCTGTTCGACATCTTTCGAGGTTGACAACGAAAGGATGTGCTGACTGGGCTTGTCTAGTTCGTCTGACTGGTATTGCTAGTGAAGGGATGATAGCAGAGATTTCCGAAGAACATTTCCCGTGGTAGTATCGATAGAAAAGTGAAAGGTCGCCGACCTTTCTACGGTGTTCCAATGATGTCAAATAGTGAGTAAGTGTGGCATCACCCACCAGGCGAATGACTCTTCTCTGGATGGAATCTAAGAGCATCAGCGTATGTTTTGGTGCCGAACCCCATATGTGGGAACAGTCTTCTAGAACAGGCCGTATCTGCGCTTTGTAGATCATGATCAGCTTTGGCGATGGATCTGACATGATTATCCAATGAAAGAGTGTTGCTGATGAAAATACCGAGCATAGATGGTGGGCTTTGTGGGGATGGTGGTGCCAGACATTACAATACTGAGTTCCGCCTTTCTAGAGAAAATACAGGCTTGAGTTTTGGTGGTGTTGAATTCAACTAGGTTGTTGGTTCCCCAGGCTGTGATTTCAGCAAGGTCTTCATTGACAGCATTGACCTGCCTGCGCCGTGAGTTTTTAGTTTTCTGGGAAGAAATGGGAATTCTGGAAGAGAACGCAGTATGGAGGGTACTATCATCTGCAAAGCTGTGTATGGGGCAAGTTGTTACTCTCAACAGATCATAGATATGAAGAAGGAATGATGTTGGTGCCAAAATTGCTCCTTGTGGAACGCCGGAATTGATGTCAATGGTATCAGACGATACGCGATTCAACAAGACTACAGAGACTGCAAAACTCTTGTCTTCGGCTTATCTATGGAATTCGCAAGTACGACAGAATCAGTCATACATTGGAAACCATCGGGTGGCTCAATATGCAAAACCGGAGGAAACTTCACGCCTTCACCCTCTACCATAAAATTATTTTACATAAGAATCCTCCATATCTGCATAGGAAAATCAAGTTCAGGACTGACGTACATAATGTTAATGTGAGACGCAAAAACATGATATCTATTCCTAAACATAAAACTGCACTATTTCAACGATCTTTTTCATATTCAAATGCTGCTGCCTACAATGATCTGAGCTCTGATTTGAAACATAAACCCATAAACAGCTTCAAAAAAGAAATTTTCAACAATATTGTCACGAGTGGCTCTAACGCCCACTATCGCAACTCGAACTTACTCGCTTGCAAGAGGTTTTTTTGAAAATGATAACTAAATAATCTAACTCCACTTCACAAGTTTATTCATTTTGAATAAAAACAATTAGGGCATGAAATAAATTGACCATTAATTATCCAGCAAGATACATCCAACTCAAATCGAAACAAAACAGGAAAACTAAAACTAGTAATACTCAAAAAAGGTACTTACAGAAGGGCTCGCTTTTCGTTAGAGGATTGGAACTGCCACTCACGAAAGTCAGACATGATGCAAATGAGTTTGAGATTTACTTCTATTAGAAGATTTGAAAAGACTTTACGGTCCACTGTCCGAACCACAACTGCCGGTTTTTTCTCTAATACCTTTTCATCTTGGTATTGGTAGTGGTAATTGATTCAGCATAAAAACTAGTGTATTCACCTCGATTAGGAAAAATCCAAAACCAGCAGTTTCTGCCCGTCAGCGACTTTACTTGAATAATAATAAAATTGAAATCCGAACTATAATTTCCTTTGAATATCGTAAATCTCTACTGATATCCTGTAAGCTAAATAATTCTAAGAATATGATCCAGACTAGGTTATTGTACTGTTCTTGAATGAGATGAGAATTTCAAATA